TCTAGCTCCTCATATGCTTGGCATTATGATCCTGCCAAGAGTCCTGATTCTAATAAGTCCTGTCTCGAGTGCAGTGCTGAAAGCCAATCTTTTAAGAAGACAGAGTTCTTTCACCAGTGTGAATTCAAGCCGAAAAATATCATCACCAAATGTTTCATTTAAAGGGAGGCGAATCAGTTCCAGTTGTTTCTGGAGCTTGGCCCAGTTGGCTCATCAGAGGCTGCAGATATGGTCAGCGCTCCCCCTTGTGGCTGTTATTGCGAGTACATGTATTGTAAGCAATCATGTTCCATCTTTGACCTCTGGTCCCCCCATACGTTGCCACAACTCCCATCCCCTCCAGCCTGCTTAGCCAATGGTCAAGAATGATGGGAGTTCTAGTTGAACAACATCTGGGGTGTCCAAGGTTGCATAACACTAGGAAATTCACCAAATGCGGATCATAATGCTGTATTGTTTTTATAATGCTGTATTTTTTTTTTAACACTTGATTGGGAGCTGCCCAGAGTGACTGGGGAAACTCAGCCAGATGGGCAGGGTATAAATAATAAATTATCATTATAAACTATTATTATAAGGACCAAACATGAAAATGACCTTCCTGGACCCCTCCCTGCATTGAGAACACTTCCAGGTTTTTCAGCAATCATCCTGATTTGTTTGCGGGAAAGTTATATGACATTGTATCAAGCAAGTCTTCTTCCCACATTTTCAAGTGCATTTCCTATCGCTTTATTGCATTACTTCGGGGGATTGGAGGGAGATAGGTAGTACCCAATCAGCTTTGATTGTGCAATCTGAATTTGCTAGCAGTTTTACACTTTGCAGCTTTCCAGTGGTATTGGCTACTTAACCATAGTTAAGGAGTAGGCCTGGCTTCACACATAATGCTAAACCGTGCTTTAAGAAGCCATCATTTAATAAACCATTTAATAAACCATGGTTTATCACTTGCGAATTGGGCCAGTCTCAGTGCTAAGTATTACTCTGTATGCTAGTCTGAGCTGCAAAAAAATGAGCCTGAGTTACTGTATTTTTTGCTCCATAACACTCACTTTTTTCCTCCTAGAAAGTAAGGGGAAATGTCTGTGCGTGTTATGGAGCGAATGCCTACGGATGGCTGGGGGATCTGCTGCAGTCGTGAGCAGAGGATCCATGGTTCCCCTTCCTTCCCTCCTCCGTGACTCGCTTTGCTCGCTTTAAAAGAGCAAAGCGGGAGAAGAGCCGCTTAGTGGGGCGAAGAGAGGGACAGAGAGCCTGGTTACAAAGCACAGATCCACATGGATCCTCAGGATTTTTGCACTGGGTCACCCCAAATTCACCATCAGATCACATAGCATGCCCATGGCTACAGCTTGCACCAAAAAAAGCACGCACCCACTGTTGCCTGGGGCTGCAGTGGTGCAAAAACATGGGTACAAAGCATGGATCCACATGGATCCTCAGGATTTTTGCATTGGGCTACCCCAAACTCACCGTCAGATCACATGTCTGTGGCCACAGCATGAACCACAAAAATTACACATCCACTGTTTCGTTTAGAATATTTTTTTCTTGTTTTCCTCCTCTAAAAACCATGTGCGTGTTATGGTCGGGTGCGTGTTATAGAGCGAAAAATACGGTAATTCAAAAGCTTCCACAACATGGTTTGGGCACAAAGCATTTTAATTTGTTATGTAGGTGGATCCCCTATTAGAGTTTGTTTCTTGTTTGAACCTTCCTGTTCTGGACTAATTGTTTTATAGATATACAAAAATGGCAAAGCAAACTTTGATTTTAAAACATAATTGGTTGCTGTGCTTTGAAGCAGCAAAATCAGAATGGCTTGACTACCACCCACTTTCTCCCCAGGGCAGAGTGTTTGGAAAATAGTATCAGGGAATGAAGTAATGCTGCCCTTCAGACTGCAGGTGCCAGTATTTGACCACTTTTTGACACCTTTCAGTTTTCTTGTGGCCTTGTAGGACCTTGCATTTCCCATAGAGCTTGTTTTTACATCCATTTGCACTTTCTGGAATATGCTAGAGAACTGATGTAATCTGAAACAAGAGAAAAGAGCAGTAAACCACAATATTTACAGATCAAAATGTATCCGATTTTATTATAATGGGTAGGAGCAAACATAACAAGGGCACCACCAATATAGTAACTTTCTGGTGAGATCAGGAAATTAAAACTCAGTAGAAGATGCATTTGAGGAACAATAGTACTCGGGTTTCAGAGTGTGTCATGTACCCAAAGAGGTTTTCTGTCTGCAGAAACAGCAGCAGTCAGTGCCAGGTAAGTGCTATAACAAAGGCTGAGCCTGAGCTCTTATACAGTGGTACCTCGGGTTACATATGCTTCAGGTTACATATGCTTCAGGTTACATATGCTTCAGGTTACAGACTTCACTAATGCAGAAATAGTACCTCGGGTTAAGAACTTTGCTTCAGGATGAGAACAGAAATCATGCTCCAGCGGCGCAGCAGCAGCGGGAGGCCCCATTACCTAAAGTGGTGCTTCAAGTTAAGAACGGACCTCCGGAACGAATTAAGTACTTAACCCGAGGTACCACTGCATATGAAAGAGAGTATCTGTGCTCATGTACAAAACACCTTTGCCTTTTTGCTAAATAGCTATAACCGTCGTCAACAACAAATCTGAGATTATGTTCTAAGACAAGGGCTGTCAAACTAAACACAAGGTCTGCATGAAACCTTGGTCCTTCCGCTTTTAGAAAGCAGGAACACTTCGTGAAATCAGCTGGACTTTGGAACAGTGGCAAAATGAGCAAGGGGTCTCCCCAAACTCAGCAGTGTTGGCTTGCCATGTTTTACAGTAAGTGAAGTAACACACACCTCCCATCTAAAGGTCCATTCCAGAAGACCATAATGCTGTAGATCACAAAGAGCGATCCGTATCCCGTGGCACAATGCGCTTGTGCGTCTGGCTGTTAACCAGAAGGTTTGTGATTCGAGCCCATCCAGGGACGGCCGTAGGCAGGATTCCTGCATTGCAGGGGGTTGGACTACTAGATGACCCTCGGGGTCCCTTCCAACTCTACATTTCTATGATTCCTGAGTACCGCCAGGGCAAAGGAGGATGCCTGTCTGGCTAACAAGCAGAGTCAAAGAAGCTATTAGAGGCAAGAGGGATTCTTTTAGCAAATGGAAGCCTTGTCTAAATGAGAATAAGAGGGAACACAAACTCTGGCAGAAGAAAAAAGCAGACAGTAAAGGATGCTAAAAAAGAAAGTGAGGAGCACATTGCTAAAAACATAAGGAGCAAAAACAAAGAGGGAGTCAAAGGTGTGCTGAAGGGAAGATAAGGATATTGCAGAGAAGCCGAAGGAATTCTTTGCATTTGACTTCTTCACAGTGAAAGATACAGGGCACATCTCAGTGCCTCAACCAATTTTCACAGGCAGGGAGTCTGAGGAAGTGAGGTGAACAATGGTGACAAGAAGCTGGCCAATCCATAGGTCTGGACAGCATCCACTTGAGAATTCTAAACCGAGCACTGGAAAGTGGCCAATATAACACCAGTTATTAAAAATGTATTCAGGGGATATTCTGGAAATTACAGGCCAGTTAGCTTAACATCTGTTCTGGGAAAACTGAAGGAAAGCGTTTGTTTTTTTTAAGGTAGAATTACTAAGAATATAGAAAGACGACTGTCATTTTAAAGCAGAACCGGGATAGCTTGTCTCAGCAAGCTGTACAAGTTATTTGAGAGTGCCAACAAGCCTATAGGTAGAGGTGATTCAGTTGACATTGTGTGCTTAGACTTCCCAGAAGCTTTTGACAAAATTCCCTCAGCAAAGGCTCCTAAAAGCAAGATGAGGTGAGCTCCTCTTGTGGATCAGTAAGTAAGTGGTGAAGAAACAGGAAGCAGATACTAGTGATAAATGGACAGTTCTCCCAACAGAGAGAAAGTGTAGTCTCCCGAGGATCAATATTGGAGCAGGTGCTTTAAAACTTGTTCACAAATGATCTATTCTAGAGCAGGCTTCATCAACCTCGACCCTCCAGATGTTTTTGGCCTACAACTCCCATGATCTCTAGCTAGCAGGACCAGTGGTCAGGGATGATAGGAATTGTAGTTTCAAAACATCTGGAGGGCTGAGGTTGAGGAAGCCTGATCTAGAGCTAGGAGTGAGCAGTGGGGGATCCGGGTTTGCTGATGATACCAGAAGGGATTGTTAAAAGCTCCAAAAGGATCTGGCCAAACTGGGTGAATGGGCAGTAAAATGTCCTGCTTGTGGACTTCCCAACTGGTTGGCCATTGTAGGAGTCTGTGTGGGGCAGTGGTTAGCATGTTGGAGACCAGGGTTCCACTCCTCACATTGCCATGAAGCTCACTGGGTTATCTTGGACCAGTCTCTATCTCTCAGCCTGACCCACCTCACAGAGCTGTTGTGAGGTTAAGATGGGGAGAGGAAGTATGCCACTTTGAGCTCCTTGGAGGAAAGATGGTATATAAATGTAATAGTAAGTCCTGAGTCTAAATTTGCCTGACTGTACCACTGGTTCTTTCACAGCATAGCATGGTTAGTTATTATGTGTTCAGCTGCACTTCTTCCATGTAAACAAGAGGGAGTGTGCACAGCAAAATGCTCTGTGACTGACAAGGCTGGATGGCTTGCCTCTCCTACTCCAATGTTGTGAGAACGGCAAAAGTTCAGAATGAAACCTCTAACTTCAGCAAGGCATTTTGGACAGAGGGGTTTTATGGCCCATTGGTAGATAATGAAGAGGAATGGAATCTGTGAAAGGCTGGGCCCCACTTGTTAGGGAGGCCTTGTCTCAAGCTTTTTCAGCTTCATATCCAAAGACAGGCGTTTATCACTCTCAAGAACTCTCTGTGTATATGTGAAGGAGGCAAACCAGATGAAATCTTTGTCCTTTCACCTGGGCTTCAGGCCAGCCTTAAAATATCTCTTGTACCACTTCCAAAAACAAGAGGGGGGGGAATAGAAATGCCAATGATTGCTCTTATTTTCTTAGCTCGTTGAAAGCGGATGTCATTGCAGTGACTTGTGCTTTCAGAAAGACGTTTGTTTCAAGGTCTCCATCTCATCCTGCAAACTTTTGATCCTGGTAAGTGATGCTGAATTTTTACTAGGGCTTCTATTCTATTTAATGTGTTAAGTTTATTATTTATTAGATTTAAATCATGTAGGAAGTTGGGGTGGAGAATCTGCCCCACTTCCCATTCTATTTTCCATAGACTCTCTTGTTTCTAACTGCACTAATATGTGAAAAGAGGAATGAACCACACACACACCCCTTAACAAATCAATTCCCTGTTTAGCAGTTTGAAGCAAGTCCCTTCCTTCAGGAGCGCCATCTCAGTTTCTGAACTTCTGACATCCTTTCTTGCATGGACTAGCCAGCCTCCAAATTCCTCAGAGTTTAAACCAACGAGGAACTTTTGCACCTCTCTATTCTTCACTGTGGTCTTTCAAATTTTGCGGAATTCTTCTAATTTTTCCTCTTGACTTCCTGCAGTTGAAGGAAGCCTCATAGTGGCATTTCCATTTGTTTTCCCCACCTCCATCCCAAATGATCTGCAATATGTCTGTGGTTATTAAAGATCACAGCATGGTATACAGATTCAGCTCGGGTGTGTTTGGCAGCCTTCTCTCTCTAACCCATGTGCGTCAAGCTTTGAGGCAGACTTCCTCCAGCAAAATGGGGGGGGGGCTAATCTTTATAAGGCAATAGCTCTGCTTCATATTGGATTATTTGATACCAGATGGAATTTAACTTAATTACACAGTCTGAGCAATGAGAACACAGAACTTTGTGAGTTCCTTTTTGAAAGCTTTGAGAACTGGACTTCAGGCCTTTTTAAAAATTATTATATATATATATATATATATATATATATATATATATATTGATCTTTATTTTAATTTTTTTTCATTTGGGATGTAAATTAGAGTTGGGGAGAAGAGCAGACTCTCCAGATGTCCCTACCTTCCAGGGATGTCCCTGATTTAGAGAAGCCATCTTCGTTTCTGATTTGATCCCAGAATGTCCCACTTTACCTTAGGATGTCCCTATTTTCATTGGAGAAATGTTGGAAGGTATGGAGTTATCCGATTCCTGAGCTGTCTGAAGGCAATCCTGTATAGGGAAGTTTTAAAATGTTTAATATTTTATTATTATTATATATATATATATTGGAAGTTGCCCAGAGTGGCTGGGGCAACCCACTAAGATGTGTGTGGTATAAATAGTACAATTATCATTATGGAATGGGACGTCCGTAATTTCATCAGAGAAATGTTGGAGGGTACGGGGGAGAAGGGATTTGTGAGAATCTCACAAAGGTTTGGCAGCAAAGCTAAAAGCTCAGGTTCTTTGACTGATTTTGTCTCCTACGATTTGAGCAAAGAGAAAATTTATCTTCTCTCAAAATGAAGTCACCATTCCAAAGCAAAAAAGATTTCATGGGACTTGAATCCCAAGACCCTGTTCTGCTTCCTTTAGCCTCCTTGCCTCTCTGTAGCTCACATTCCTATTCCACATGGTTTCCACAAGATGAAAAGTGATGGGTTGTTCCCCCTCACCAACCAAAGTCCTTATTCTTTCCAAAGCCACTGACACAATGAAGGGCATTTAGACGCCTATACAGGGATATCTACTGTAGCTTCACAATCACAGCTTTTTATTCACAGGAGAGCACCTACAAGCTCCTTGTGATGCTGGGAAAATATTTACACTGGAACCTACTTGTGAGTCAGACAGAAGGGGGCATCAAACCGCACCCAGATTTTTAGTAACTCATCAATAGACACAACAGCTACTAATCCTCCCTGGGCTTTAATTTTTACCTTGAGAATAGCTTACGGAGCAGTACAATGAACCTTATGTGGGAGGAACCCTGTGACTCTTAAGAAGGGAAGATGGTAGTAAAAGTGCTGAGAGCAGAAGCCAGTGAACTACTGGATGGTGAGATGCATATATAGGATGTATTATTCCTCATACGCACATTAGCCTGAAAGTGGGTTAAACCACAGAGCCTAGGACTTGCTGATCAGAAGGTCGGCGGTTCGAATCCCCGCGACGGGGTGAGCTCCCGCTGCTCAGTCCCTGCTCCTGCCAACCTAGCAGTTCGAAAGCACATCAAAGTGCAAGTAGATAAATAGGTACCGCTCTGGCGAGAAGGTAAACGACGTTTCCATGTGCTGCTCTGGTTCGTCAGAAGCGGCTTAGTCATGCTGGCCACATGACCCGGAAGCTGTACGCCAGTTCCCTTGGCCAACAAAGTGAGATGAGTGCCGCAACCCCAGAGTCGGCCACGACTGGACCTAATGGCCAGGGGTCCCTTTAGTTCCCATTGAAGTCAGTGGGGCTTATTTCTGAGTAGATATGCATGAGGTTACATTACTACTCATCATGTAGTAATAGTGTTGCGTGGAGGGGGAATCAATGCACTCTTTTTTCTTTTAGATTTGTTAACTAACTCAGTGGTGCTGTGGGGGCAGGAATTTGGAGCAGACGTCAAGGGGTCACAAGGGGCAGGTGAGCTCCAAAATGCAGCAGGGTTGGATTATCACATTTTGAAGTAAACAAAGAGCAACCCCGCCCAATAAGACTATTAAATCCCGAGTCTGCACCCTTAACAGCAAACTAGAATAACCTTTTTTAAAAAAAATTGGGGAAATTTTGAACTAGGCTCATTTGCATTGGAAAATTTTCAGTTTGTATCAAAGAAAAATTCTCATATGCTAGAGAGTATGGTTACTTTACTTGCATTTAATAAGTGTTAGAAAGTTTAAAACCAAGCTTTACCAATAATGCATTTGTGCTTGGCCTTCTTTCACTGTTACCAATGAACTCATGACGTGGAAATTTTTCCATGGAAAAATAAAGCCCTAGTACAGGGGTCTGCAACCTTTAAGACAAAAAGAGCCACTTGGACCCGTTTCCGAAGAAAAAAAAACTGGGAGCCGCAAAACATTGCGACATTTAAAACAAATATATCTCCGGAGCCACGATCTGACAGCGGGCGGGAAGGTGACGTCGGGACGGTGCGTGACTAACACACGCACCGCCCCCATGCGACGTCACAGCCAGTACAGCGCCTGCCACAGTGGGGAGTGTCGGGGCGCACAATGCGCCTCCTCCCCTCGCTAGTATCCGCCCTGGAGCCGCGGCAAAAGTGTAGAAGAGCCACATGCGGCTCCGGAGCCGCGGGTTGCAGACCCCTGCCCTAGTAAAAACTACCACCCCATATCACTGATGCATGCTCATGCACAATCTTGTATTCCTCCGCTTCCTCCCCAATCCCATTCCTAACACTTACAGCAGCCTTCTCCAATTTGTTGCCTCTCAGATCTTTGGGGCTACAACTCCCATCAGCCATGCTTACTGAGGCTAATGGGAGTTGTAGTCCAAAAGATGAAGAGGGCCCCCGGTTAGCAAAGGCTAACTTACTGTGAGGACCCTGATGAATGGAATAGAGAATGTTCATTTGAGAAGCATTGAAGTAGCATTTCTGCTTTGCCCACCTTATTTCTGATTGCCAGCTGCTTTTTGCAAGTCTGTTCAGCATGTTGTCCACTCCTGAAGTGCTGTAAACCACTGCCAATGTACTGGGAAGCAACAGCCCATGTTTTCTGCTCTGTGGGCAAGCACTGCATTTAAGGAAGATAGGAAAAAAACTAGCTCTTTATATCGCATACTGGCAAAAGATATCCATGCTACTGAATAAATGGAAAATGTATTCCAGGACAGATTCAAAAACCTAAAATCTTATTTTTCATCAGGCCATTTAAGAACCAGAAAAAAAAACAGACTGTTTCTGGACCTAGGGTTTTTCTTTTGCTAACCTGAAAACATTCCTGTGGCTTCTCCCTGATAAAGAGGTAGAATGGGGTTATGAACTGTGGAGTTGAAAGGACACCAGGACAAGGAGAGGGAGATCCTGGGACACAAGTTCAGTGGAATCTTCTTGGAATTGCCATTTCATCTTGAGGGAAGCTTCATTCTTGATTCAAAATGGTGCCCAACTGTATCCAAACGGATAAAAACCTCAGAAACCATTGTACCAATTTTGGGTAACATCAGTAAAGTTTTAAAGGATTCAGTCCACCATCTTGATTCAAAATGTCACCCAATTGTATCCAAACATGGACAAAAAGCTACTCTTTGCTCTCAGTAATTATAATGCAAAATTTGGTTATGGTACGTTAAAAGGTGTCCAATTGCATGGCAGAAAAACAACTTTCCAAAATATATAGAAGAAGATACTGGCAGTCTCAAATCACCATATCCTTTCTAACAAGATTTCCATTCATCCTCAGCAACCACTCCCTGTCCCTGCCACCACTGCTCCTTCAGTTCTTCTTCTTTCCCCTCTACTCCTGGCTGGGTTTGCTGCTTCGTCCCTCCACCTTACCCATAATCCCTGGTGATTCCAGATGTGGCCTACAGTCTTGGGGCTGTTAGGCAGCAATGGCCACTGCACAAAATCATTATTCCAATCTATTTATTTTCCTTGAAATATGTTTTCTCCAAACTTCCAATTTAGTACTATAGGTGCTCCAGATGACCCATTTATGGAGCATTCATTCTGATTTTCTTGCACAAAACGTATGTGGTGGTTAGACTAAGTCCGCTCTTTATTGAGCATTTGTTTTGATTTGTTTATGGTGCACTTATAGGACAATAAGCACTGTGGTTTTTTGGAGGCTCTTCCTTTTAACAGACACCATAAATAGTTTGTGTTTCCAGGGCACCATCTCATATTAATTCCTACATGAAATTCTGCTCTGACTACTTTTCTCCCCCCACCCCAATATATTCTGAATGCATTTCTTTTTCCTTTTCTTCTGTTGTACCTTGTCTCTCACTCTTTCGTAAGCTGCTTTGTGAGGACATAACTGCAAAAAGTAGCTTTCAATATTTTGAAAAGGCAAATAAACTGGATGAGACAGCTGAAAAACCTGCCTGCTATAAATGAGGATCTGCTCCAGTCATGGGCAGGTTCCGTTTTAACAGGGCCAAATCAGCATCACCAGGCACCTGCCAAAGTCCAAAACCTCTTCAGGGCCCCCACTTCCAGCCCCACAGAACCCATTGGCCTTGCTGCACCTTTCATTTGTCAATGTCTTCTTGTAACCCTCTCTGGCCCTGGGGCCCAGAGGGAAGGGAAGGGAAGGGAAAGGCCAGGCTTTCTATCTATGTGGAGATCGGGATTGGGATGTGAGGGAAAGACTAACCGAGTGAAAGGGGTTGTTGAGGTGGAGAGGGACTCACTGAGGGCATTTTCTCTCAAGGGGTTCCTCAGAAACTGAAGCCAGTAATGTCACTTTTTCCTCAGCTGAGTATATCAGCACCTGGTGGGCAAAGTGAGGTGGGGAGTGTCTTCAAGAGAAGGAAGGGCAGCAGGTGGCAAGGGGTATCCGGTGCGCCCCCACCATCAAGCGGCCCTTTTCAAAATCAGCCACTATACCAATGCTCCACTTTACATGAGCGTGTCCATCCTTGGGTGTTTTAAAGAGATGGGTCTGTCACCATCACGTCCAGTTTTGCCTTTATGCCATCAAAAGTAAAAAATAAATAAATGAAAAAACGAAAAGGGGGAAATATTTGCCTTCTGCTTGCAAATTTTTACGATCCCACTCTAGTGCAGTCCACCCTTTCCTTAGCAATGGAAGCCTCAAAATAAATACAGATCTCTCTCCGGCTCAGTCGAGTGGGTCCATCTAGTTTAATCATCTGTCTAGAGAGGAAACCCATTGGAAGCATGATTTACTTAAGGGCTGTGTTGTTGCTGCTGCCGCCGCTACTGCTGCTGCAGTGCCTCCTGCCCGCCAATGACTGTGCTAGCGGATCAGATGAGGCTGTTGTTCTTCTTTACCAGTCCTGCTGTCTGTCAGACGATTGTCTCGGGTTTCCTCCACCCTCCCTCCTCTCCTGCCAGTGTCAACTTGTGGCTTTAGATTTAAGGGGTTTGTCTGCCACTGCTCCATCAAACAAGGTCTCTGAGGCAGCTGGAGAGAGCCGGACAGCAGCCAGCACTGAACAGACAGAGCTTTCCCCCTCTCTGGTAGCAGCACCCTGTTCTGGACGCAGTTTTGGGAAGGCTTGCAATGACCTGATCTGCATGCTGTGACCTGTCACTTCTGTTCTCTGCAGTCACCGAAGGAAGAGGGGGAAAGCCATATAGCACCCAAGAGAAACTGTACAGGAATCCTGTGGGAGAGGGAAACCTGCAGGCATACTGGGCTGGCACACCTCCCTCCCTGTTGTCCAGATTGCTACAGGCAAAGACTCTGCTTCCTGGCAAAAGCTCCCACAGCCGTCAGCAGGTAAGAGCAAAACCATCCGGTGTGAGCCCGGGAAAAGGGATCCAAGCCAAGAAGGGACTGAGTGAGAGAAGGAAGATAAATGAGGGAAAGCGGCAACTCCAGAAGGAGTTTGTGGTTCTTGCAATGCAGAGGATGCTTCCTGGCTCTAGAAAAGACAGCAGTTGCCAAGATTGTTCTGCATGTTGACATTAAGGCAGTGAATTGGGGCTCTTGGCTGAGCAAGACTTACGGTGTACTTTTATGTGCAAATAGCATGGCCCACAGGTTGGAGGGTGTCAGGGAGTAAGAGTCTTCGGAGGCCAGGAAGGAAAGGCTCCCCTTCCCGTACCATCAATTGCGGCAGTGGAAATGATAGGAACTGTACGCTGTATGTTTGCCTAAGAAAAAGAGGGCTTGCTGGATGAGTTTAGCTTGGATGCTAATTGTATGCTTAGTGCTTTCCATCATAGCAGCAGTAGCAATGTAGTTCCCTAGTTGTGTATTTATTTAATTTATTTGAGTAATGCATTTAATAAATATACATTGTTTAGTTCCCTTTGCCCCCATATCACTCTAACTTTTAAGGATACAGATTCTTCCAAGGTAGCTTACAAGTGAAATCAAAACACATCTAAAAAAATGAGCAGACAATACCAAAACATAAAAATCCATCCAGCTTCTTCTCACAGAGCAGTTGATGTCAGTTGGCCCTATGGAGAATGGAGATGGGGTGGGGATGGGGAATCATCCAGCGGAAGCTGAATAAGACTTCTAACATTACCTTCGCCTGGTCCTCTACCCTACCACCACGGGTCAGTTGGTGGTAGAAGCGACAGTTTAGCTGAAGGAGGCTGGGGTGTCTTCACCACCTGCCTCCCACCATCATTCATGCCTCTTCTTTTCTTTCTGCTTGTGACATGTCACAATCTGAGAGTGCTTCCAGACGGGTGTTTATTGTGGGATTGGTGCTGCCCATACATGCAATTTTTTAAAGCACCCAGTAAGCATCATTGGCAGCCTATATCCCCCCTTAACTATTGATTTACCCTTTCTGTGAAAAATCTGGTAAGTTAAAAAGCAAACAAACCTGTTGCCAATGACCCATTTCTGATATCTGTTTGACCCTTTTGCAATATTAAGCCCTGGTCTGGAAGCACCCTGAGTGATGGGGCTCTAAAGAAGCCTTACGTGTGCTGTTTATGTACTCAACATATCTCCTAAAGCATTGTCTATATATTTACTTACTTACTTACTTACTTAATTAATTAATTAATTAATTACACAATTTATATAGCACTTAACTACAATCATCTCTACAGGGACGCGGGTGGCGCTGTGGGTTAAACCACAGAGCGTAGGACTTGCCAATCAGAAGGTCGGTGGTTCGAATCCCCGCGACAGGGTGAGCTCCTGTTGCTCCGTCCCTTGCTCCTGCCAACCTAGCAGTTCGAAAGCACGTCAAAGTGCAAGTAGATAAATAGGTACCGCTCAGGCGGGAAGGTAAATGGCGTTTCCGTGTGCTGCTCTGGTTCGCCAGAAGCGGCTTAGTCATGCTGGCCACATGACCCGGAAGCTGTACGCTGGCTCCCTTGGCCAATAAAGCGAGATGAGCGCTGCAACCCCAGAGTCGGCCACGACTGGACCTAATAGTCAGGGGTCCCTTTACCTTTACCTTACAATCATCTCTAGTGCTGTACAAGAAATATAGGACAGGTGAAGAATTGGGGCGGTTGTTGTTACTGCACTATTTATTGCAGATTCTGGAGTGATTTTATCTGGTCCCTGGTGGCTCTCCATGTTTTAATTGCTGTGTGGTAAAATGTTTGCTCACAGCTTTACACATATATAGAAAAGAGAATGATATTTCTGGTGTTGTGTGTTTGTGAAAGAAGACCCTACATTTTAATGTTAAATCTCAGTTGGCATTTTTAAAACCCAGACTTACAGCTGTTTGGATGGTGATGATGGTGGTAGTGATGATACCACCTAATGTATGTGCTTCCAAACTGTAAAGCTCTTTACTTCAGAAATGGTGCCTATTTTATTATAGTGCCTGTCATCTTGTTAGCAGGTTGGCTTGCAAAGCAAAGTACAATTCTGTCCCCAAGACCATTGCCTGGAAAACATCGCTGCTCTGTTGCATCTGACCACATGAGATACAAATGGCTATAGGACAGGGATGTGGAAGCAGATATTTGCCTGACTCCCTGTCTTTCCATCTGCTTGTTTGTTTTGCTTGTTTGAGATATGATAGCTCCATGATGTGAATTTCCCACATTCACACACACTTGGGGTGGGGGTGGAGGGATAGATATCTACCATTCCAACCTACAGAGTACTATACTGTTACAGCCATGATCTTTGATAGACCTTTCTTGCCCTCATATTGCAATCCCGTCACATGCCTATTGTGATGCTCACCACACTTCACCAACAGAGAGAAGCTCTAAGGGTGCGGTGGTTTGGTTTCCTTTGGAAGGAGGACACTGAAGGCCTATTGGCATTGTGTAATATTTGCACTACTTTACAAACACACAGGTCAAGCATAGGTGGAGGCTTGTGTTAAAAATTCCAGCAGGCAGCCAAGGTCCATTGCTCCAGGGAGGCAGCCAGCACCCTGAGATGTTTATGGAGACCAAACTCAGCTCTCTCTGGGTGCTTCCAGATGATCTCTTTATTAAAAGAGATTAACCCTCTTCTGAGCAAATATCCAATTTTACAGCAATAAATTTTCAGTCAGATTTATGGTGCTATAGCAGAGACGAACTGCTGCAGGTTTTGCTAGTGCGTTTTCACACATTAACATATTTCAGACACATCATTCAAATCCAGAGATCAAGTACCCCAATTTGGAATTTCCCTACTTAGATACTGAAATGAAAGCTACCTGAAATGGAATGCCGTTTAATATGCCATTGGTAGGCCAAAACTAATATTTGATTAAACTGAAATTGACACACCAAGCAGTACTATTGAGTTCAAGGTAAAGGAGCACAGTACGGTCCCTAAAATCTTCTGCCACTATACACCTCAACCTTTTGTAGTTTATAAAAATGACACCTGTTGAGCTAGTGACTTATAGCTAGGCAAACATGTTCTACTTGATGAGGTCTACAAATGTTTGAGATTTCAAACTGATCCAAAAAAATGGTCACATGTACAGCAAGATTTAAAGTGCTGAATATGGACATGTCTCCTCTTTTTACTCCAATTTTTGAACAACCATACCATATATTGCTTTGCTATTTTGGTAAAAACCACTGATGTGCTTGATTCAAGCTTATCAGGGAAAGCAATCTTTCACTGGCCTTGTGAGGTTCTGAACATGTGGACGGAAACGAGAACTGAAAACTGCCCTGTGCCCTCTTGATGAAGGGCAATTTTTTTTTAAAATTCATAATAATAGCTACAGCCTATGGGAATAAGACTTGGCCTTATGTTAATTTCTCCTAACTCTTTCTCCGAAATAACAGCGCTATGTGAAGGGGGATAATTTTCAGTGCCATTGTGATGGCATTCTCTTGGGCCTTTTGGTTGTCAGTGATGTATCCTCACGGCAAATTGCTCTATGAATTAGTTATCACTGAGAGAAGAATTGGCATAGTTCCTACTAGAAAGTGTTTGGGAGCCCCCAACTGGGTCTTCCAAGCCCCCTCTAGGTGAATGTCTGACTCATGAAGATACTTAAGTTTGGACATATTGAGGTAAATAGTTATTTGGTGCCTGACATCATTCGTGTCTTAATGTCTAGTAAACTTAGTTGAAGGACTGGGTGTTTTTTCCTGAACTTTGGCCCTGTTGTAGTTCTAGTTATTTCTGCTGAATGGATCTAGTTGCTGGGTGTATGAATGGAGGCTCACTCACAATGGCAAATGCATCTATCAATTTTAGTAGAGTCCAAATACGTGATATAAACACGCAATAGAAAACAAGCTCGGGAACTACTGACACAATAAATATTTTTTTGCCATTGAAAGCACTATTTTTAAAGGATTAGATCAGTTGTCACTAATGGTATTTGTCAGTGTGAAAGAGGGTGTATTTATCGCCCCGCCATCTGACTACATTTGTATCTTTGTTTGAAATCCCTGGGAGTTAAACTGCTTGCTGAAGTAATGCAGTAATGTTTTGGGTGTCTCAATGCAGCTAAAACCAAGCCCTCTTTCCAGCTCTGCTGAAATCACATTGCTAAAGCCCCCATGGGCATTGCTGCACTTCCAGTAATGAGTATCATTAGGTAACACTTCAAGGTGCTTGATTACAGGATATGATCCATCCTATCTGAGAGCTGCCAGACACTGCATACATACACACTAGATCTTTAAACTGTATCCTTCAAAGTACATTCCTCTCTTATAGAATCCTGGGGAACTATAGTTTGTTGAGGGTGCTGAGAATTGTAGCTCAGCGGGGGTTAAGCTACAGTTCCTAGGATTCTTTGGTGAGGCGGAGAAATGTGCTTGTGTTCACAGTGAAGAAGTGCGCTTTGACACATGTGTCAGGCAGGACAACAGGGACTGAAAAGTGCAGTCATAATAGATGTAGCATGATAGACATGTATATCACTTCCTTCACTCTTTTTTTAAGAGGAAAAGCAAGTGCAGCTGCAACCAGGAGCGGAGCAACTGTGGAAGGACCAGCTGCGAAAACCTTTCTTCTCCATCTGCTTTCCTGCTCAAAATCAAGTTCTCTCTTCCACCTCCTGGGGGAAATGGGTGGATCATTTCTGTGTGGGTGGAGAAGCAACTGGGAAGCCATTTTGAGTGTGTGTGATTGGGAAGGAATAGTCACAGGGGACCTAAGCAGCTTCTCCCCCTGATTTGCCCTGCTGCCGGGACCAAGCCCTTCAGCCGGCCAATAGGGCTGGCTGGTGGGCGGGGTTAGCTGCATTTAAGCAGCCGCAGCAGCGCTCTGTCCCCAGTCTGTTCCACAACAGCAGCAGCACTGAGCTCATTGAGACAGGAACATGGGGAGGCAGCAGTGAGGTAGGGGAAGGAACACAGGGTGGATGCAGCAGGGTGGATGGGAACTATAGCTCAAAATAGCTAGAGGTACCAGGCTGGCAAAAGCTGCTTTAGGCACACACACCCATCCTGATATGCAAGGTACCTTCCTCATCACCTTTTGTGTTTCCAGAGCCCATTTTGAGCGGTCTGATGATTTCTCCAGAAGGCTTCCAGGTGCAGACTTACGCACGAGATTGCCTTGTCCCTTCTGTGAATGGGGGAAAGCTCAGAAAAGTGCAGGGGAGAGCACATTTGAGTTGTTTGCTTCCACATTACTCGGCTCACGAGAGTAGAAAGTTCATGTGAGTAATTATTTCTGGAAGCAAGCAGCTGGCTGATTATTAACATAGACTCACAGAGAAATGTCCGTGCTACCATTCATGCATTATGAGGTAATGCTGCTCCCCGCTGACACATAGATTAGTCTTCATTTGAGGTAAGGCAGGATGAGGGGGGGGAGAACACATGAGAAGTGACCATGTATGGATATGTAGATTCCATATGTTGATCTAATGAACAGATTGCCTAAATTTGGAGGAGTATTCAGGACATGGGGTATATAGAAGTGAGCCAATATTGGCTGAATCATGAAAGGAAAAGTAATAAGAATCTCAGGTGATTGAAAAGTTGTTTGTATTACAGCATAGAATTAATTTGCAAACTTGAAATCTACGGTATATGTATGTAAGTATAGTCTTGGGGAAAGGTTTCCTCATTTTACATGCATGGCTCATTATATTTCCCCAAGATTCTTCCAGGGAGGGTGGTTGAGGAGCTGCAAGATGTTGTGGACCTTTCTCTCCATGGACAGAGGGGGAAGTCTGGGGGTACAGCCTGGGCCTCAACAGTACAGTACCAGAAAGCTCCACTTCTAGTGCAGCAGGGGCAGAAATGAGGCATGTTGGGGGCAGATGTCCTGATGTAGCCCTGGAGAAGACAAAAAAACCAGCCAGCCCTGGTCATCTAATCCAAACCCCTCCAGTGCAGGAATCTTTTGCTCAATGTGAGGCTCAAACAACCCATGACCCTGAGGTTAAAAGTCTCATGCTCTGCCAACTGAGCCATCTGCCTGCTAGCTTCTAAAATGTTATCTGTATGTGTCACACATGGAGACCAGAACACTGGTGGAGGGGCCTGCCCAGTCTCCTGTTCATTGGACCAGTCCAAATACTGAGCTTTAAGTACAGATGGGAGCACATTATTGCCTTCAGTAATATGTGTGAAGGAATGATGCTTCTTGTATGTGTGTGGCATTCACCTAGGTGTGTCATTTCATAGATGCTTAAGTTAGTAAGTAACAATGCAAACAATTTTGTATTGATCTGACTCATAATTTTTCCAACATAAAATAATAGGCAATTTATATACTGGTTTTCTTAAGGCATTGGTTGGTTTACTAATCTCATGAGACTCTGCTAATCTTATTTTGTGACTAACCAATGTTATATGATCACAGCCTCACTGAGTGAATAAGTGCAGTTTTAAAAACTGTGGAAAAACTAACTGTTCATGTCCCTGCTTTATTATAAGCATCTTATTTTTTAGCTTAAATATTAAAATTCATTCATTACAGCTGCACCCATTGTTTGATCTGATCTCTTTGCAAGCCTGGAATTAGCTACGTTGAAAGGGTAGGTATTAGTCTTTTTTGTACTTCATGACAATTCAAGGAATCTCCCCTTAAGTACCTTGTATTTGTGAGCTTGAATCTGGCCCAACATGCTTCATGTTGAATGCCTTGCCTACTTGCAGGTGTTAAAGTGGAACTGCTCTTAATGATAGCTTAGAGGTTTCGGCCAGCAACGAATGCGTCAGCCTGCCTCCCCATAGGAGTGAGTCACTGGAAGCTTATTATGTCAGTACTTCATTATCTGCATTGTCTCCTATTGTCTTCCTGGCACAATTCAAAGTTTGAAAAAGAAGGAGGAGGAAAGCCATAGATCCCTTAAAGCCTTTGATCCAACATATCTAAGGGACCACCAACTCTCCATGATGGTCTGGAAAAAGCCATTTTGAACTGGCCATTCACATGGTAGGGCCAGATCGCATCTCTGTGCATTATTCCCGATGCCATGCCCCAACTGCAGGCCCATATGCTGCCTTCCTATAGCACCTCCTGTCTTTTGTACATGTATTGTCCAAGTGGCCCTAATCATGGTTCAGCATTCCAGTGGCACCCATCTAAACAATGTCTAACACTAGCCAGAGTTTTATGTTTTAAGGTTAGAGCTAACCATGGTTAAGATTAATGCCAGTGAAAATGGTACCCAATTTTAAAAGGCAGGGAGAGTGTGAGGGAAGTTTGTGTGCAAGAACAGAGAAACTTTGAGGAGGGAATGTACATAGGGCATGTACACACTGCATGATAGCGTGCATTCAGTGCTGAAGGCTCTTTTAGAGCCTTTTTGTGGTGCTCTAAACATGATGTCACCCCCATCCCACACTATCTGTCAATCTAAAAATGCATTCTTCTGAAAAGTTTAATGTGTACACAGAGGGCACTTTCTCAGGTCACTTCCCATTGGGCAGACCTTCTGACATTGCAGGGCTGTGGTGCTCTGCCTCGCCATGTTTAAATGGTTTATGAATAAAATAGGCAAAATAGGAGGTGACTGAGCTGCCTCTGTGTACTGATTTACAGTGGTACCTCGGGTTAAGTACTTAATTCGTTCTGGAGGTCTGTTCTTAACCTGAAACTGTTTTTAACCTGAAGCACCACTTTAGCTAATGGGGCCTCCTGCTGCCGCTGCACCGCCACCACACAGTTTCTGTTCTCATCCTGAAGCAAAGTTCTTAACCCAAGGTAATATTTCTGGGTTAGTGGAGTCTGTAACCTGAAGCGTATGTAACCTGAAGCGTATGTAACCCGAAGTACCACTGTATATCCTCTGTACACCAGTATATCCACACACTCATTTCAAGCCCCTCTTTTGAAAGACTACAGTTTTTAAAAAGACCTGTGGAAACACTAGTTGAGGGGAAGGGAACAGAAAAGACGACTGTGTACTAGTCTGAAATTTTGCCCACCTGTGTATACAGACAACAGGGATAGCAGTTGCAACTTTAAATGACATCATCATGAGAAGGAGTGTACAATTGCAAACTGCTATGTACAAAGTGCACTGTGGAAAAAATGGCTCCATGTGTACACAGGCATAGTCTGTTCCCAGTCCCGTAATAATTGTTAAAATGTTTTTCAGAGAATTAAATCTGCCCAGGCCCTCAATAGCAGTAGCATAAGTATAGAACTTCCTTCCCATGTGGCAGAGATAGCCACTGTGTTGCTCTCCAGAGGTTTGACTACATTGCCCATCATCCCTGAGGGCTGATGGGACTTGTAGTCCAACATGTGGAAGGCCGCAGGTTCCCCACCTTGCACTACAGAGTGTGTAGATGGCTTTAAAATTAATTTCTTCTATACAGTTTATATATATACACACACACACATATACAGTGCCTTAATGAACAGTAACCTTGATGCAAATCTCAAAGCAGAGCATTTTTCTTTTAGGATGTAAGCAACCCAATTGCACGTCTCCTCAAATGGACATGTTGGTGCAAGCTCACTCTACTCACCAGAAGAGATGCTTCATTCAGAATAGTTTCCTACAAGGAAATAACTTTCTTAGGATGTCATATACTCATCACTCGAGGCAGTGCAAACGTAGTTTTCCAACAGTATAAAAAAGTGATGTTCCTACATAGAATGATATTCTTGTAAGAAATATAAATGTGTGCTGTCGCCCCACGGTTCAAATTTTGACACAAGCTGAAGCTCTCCTTATGCTGGTTGATAAAGTGCCTGTACACCACTTGTCTGTTGTACGCTTTTTGACCAGCATCTGGAAGTCCAAACTAACTTCGCTTAAAAGCATTGGGTTTAAGGTGTGAGGAGAAATACCTGCCATGGCCCATTCACACGTAGAAGGCATCAACTGGCTTGCAGTTATCAAGGGACCAGTAAGTAGGGGGTTGTTCCCGGCCTTAGCTATTGCTAAGCATGATGAAAGGTGCACTTTTTTCTCTCTTTTACGCAATCATCCGGACACACATAGTACAAGCAGAATCCAAATACTGGTCGTTTTGTTCATTTTCATGGTGCTTCTCCTGACTAAGTTGTGGGTTCTCTTTTGCAAATAGAAGAGGAAGGGCAAAACAGCAAAGAAGTTGTTCTTACCCTGTTTATAGTCTGGCTAGAAACAGCAGGTATCTTGTTTGAGAGTCTGCCCTACATTTATTTACATTCTCTATCCAGCAGTGAAAAATGGCGCCACATCTATTTACATCACTTAAGGGTCTCACTCTCTGGAGCAGCAGATTGTTTGAGTCTCTCTTTTAGGCACTTTTCAGAAGTCCAATAAGCTGAATGAGTTTGGTATTTCACTGGTTCAAGTTTAGGCAAGGGCACGAAGAAAAAAATGTGTTCTGCATGGTTAGGAAAATTCTACAAATATGTCTTTTCCACTGGATTTTCAACCACTTGAGGTAAGACACCGACACCTTGACTTTCTAGTCTACTGCAATACCTCCAGATCCAAGTGATAACCAACCAGCCAAAAACACCCTGGGTCTGAAGTAATTTGGGTGTACAATATTGCAATGATAATACAGTATAGAAACAGGAAACTTCCAAGAAGGTCAACACCCATCACTACTTCAGGCCCAGATTCGAAATGTGAACAAGCTGTGCACCTAACTGCAGGAAAGACCATGGGGCATCTCTTCTTCCTCACCTTCCAGAGATTGTCCTAGGTAATTGTTAGTTAAACCAGTGACAACAAATAATGAAATCTACTGACAACTGGTCCTGTATAGGTCCTCTTGAAATGAATTCCAAAGGTAGGAGTTTTGTGAATTGCACCTATGTAATAAGAAGAACACTCTAGATCAAACTTCCTAATGTTTAGTTGGAATCTCCTTTCTTGTAATTTGAATCCATTGGTTCAGGTCCTACCCTCTGAAGCAGAAATAAAAAAGCTTGTTCCATCTTCCATGTGACAGCCCTTCAGATATCTGAAGATGGCTATCATTAGCGTTGGAATAATAGGCATGCATTTCAAGCAAATATAGACTCTTCTTTAGCATTGCTTCATAAGGCCTGTTTTTGTACTTTTCATATACTACTTACCTCTTCATATACTACTTACCTAAGTCCTAAGAGCATCATCAGAGGCCGTTCTCTGAGCTTCCCAGCAAGCTGTGATACAGCGGGTGGTCAAATGAGAAAGGACCTTCTTTGTACTGGCCCTTGGTTGTTGAATGCTCTATCCAGAGAGGCTTGCCTGGCACCTACTTTATTATTATTATTATTATTATTATTATTATTATTATTATTTTGCACCAAAGATCTTTGATCTGCTCAGGCCTTTTAAACTCTGTACTTGTCTTATGTTGTCTTATGTTGTGGTCATTATAATTCTGTGGAGTTCATAAGTTTTTGTTTTTTTTTTGTATATTTTAGAGATTGCTATGATTTTTAGACTCCCTGATTTAAAAATAATTGTATTTCCTTTTACCATGTTTTAAGTGCTGTTGTGCAGAATTTTCTTTCTCTGGAATTTGCATTATTTTTATATGCCACCCAGAGAATAGTTGTTATTGGGCAACTAAGAAATAGAACACACACAACAGGCTACAGCACACACATGCTGCTGAGCCAAAATGCTGGTTGACACAGTCCGGCTCAATCTACTCTGACTGCAGCAGCGACAGTAGCAGCATTCCAGGGCAAAAGTCCTACCCCAACTCTGCTACGGGAAATTATGTTAACTGGGAATGGAAGGGAATGAGATTGAATCATGCAAAAAATGTAGGGTGTATAATTGAGTTTGGGCCCCTCCCAAAAAGGTGCAGTCCTCTTTTCCTTGGTTTCTCATACTCACTGTGCAAATTTATTTTTTATGGCTTCCTTCTTCATTTCCCTATATGTGAGCCAGTCCTGGGAAAGAATCAGCTTTTTTCTCACATGCATCTTAAAGGGAGAAGCAGTCAAATGCACATGCATGGCACATTTTTGACATAGCACATAAATTTACAAATAAACAAACAACACCAGGTGACATCAGGTGTGGGGCAGGTAGAGGGGCAGCTACCAATGCATGATTGGATGCCCTAAAGTCAGTTTGCCCAGTCATCTGATGTCACTGGGACTTCGGGTGAATTTGGCCCACAAGACTACTGATAATGATCCGGCACACAGAGCCAAAAGGGCTTTCCACCCACATTCATTAGGGTATCGTACTATAACAAATGGGAGGTGGGACATAATTAAATAAATCAATTTAAACTGCAAAAAGGTGTGGAAAGGGCTAAAATGGTGTGAAAAGAGCGGGAAATCAGCTAGCAATCCTGGGAGCCTTTGCGCCAACCTTTGAGGAATGCGGAGAGCTGGACTGAGAGCCACCATCGCCACCATTCATGCCAGTCTGGTAAGTGCTACTGGCTTTTTTAAAGGGTTTTTTAAAGGTTTTAGAGGGTGTTGACAGGCTTTTTAGCTGGTGTTCCCCAATAAATGCAATTTCACATATACGCTCGGTACCCGGGAAAATAACTGCCCTTCATCTGAGGATTACACAGTGGTTTACGGTATAAAAACACAAAAATACATAATGTAATAACAAACAAAACAATACCCTACCACTGTTTAAAAGACCATAGATTTTTTTAATTAGCCGAAGACCTGGGAGAAGAGGAATGTTTTTGCCTGGTGCCTGAATATATGCAACGAAAGCACCAGGTAAGCCTCCCTGGGGAGAGCATTCCACAAATGGGAAGCCACCACACAGAAAAGGCACCTGTAATGTTTAATAAAAGAAACACATAATGTCACATCATCGGATCCACCATTTTCCTACCCTCACTCAGATTCATTGAATGCACGCTTGCAGGGAGAGAAGTGCTGACTACAATCATGTTGTGCGGTGCCATTTCTCTTATAGCCCAACACCCTAATATGAACTACAGTGGTACCTCGGGTTAAGTACTTAATTCGTTCCGGAGGTCCGTTCTTAACCTTAAACTGTTCTTAACCTGAAGCACCACTTTAGCTAATGGGGCCTCCCACTGCTGCCGTGCCACCAGAGCACGATTTCTGTTCTCATCCTGAAGCAAAGTTCTTAACCCGAGTTACTATTTCTGGGTTAGCGGAGTCTGTACCCTGAAGTGTATGTATCCCGAGGTACCCCTGTACATCAGAGATATGTCATGAAGATGTGTGTACTCATATATTGAACGTGCTAAGGAGACGGGGGAGTGGTGAGGATCAGCGGCTTCCACCATATGTCTCTGTATACATGAAGGCCCCTTTAGAAAGATTGTCCTATCTGGTGAAACTTCAGTTGTTTTGGACTACAACTGCCTTCTGCCCCTGTTGCAGCCCCAAACATCTGGAGGGCACCAGGATGGCGGAGGCTACTGTAGAGCCTACAAAATCACAATATCAAACAAATCATTACTTAGAAAATGTAATTTTTATGTGGAAGAAATTCACAGAGAACATACATGTTGTAGCAGCTGTGATGACAGTATACTTTCCACTGGGTGGGAAGCAAGCATATCAAGAGGGGAAAAACATCTCCTGGGTCTGTTGTTTCTCTGGCCTGCTATACGTTGTGATATCTTAGGGGTGCTGGAAAGGGTTTTCAGAGAGTGTCCATTTATACCAGATGTAACCACTCCTTAAAGAGACATAAATAGATGAGATATACACCCCGAGGCCTGACTCTTTGTGGCAATAAAGATTTCATCACACATTATAGGGCAGATGGGTGTTAGTTCATTGAGAGTTCTGGCTTGTAGCATAGATTTGTTTAGTTACCATTTTTGACCTCTGCACCATCACTGGAACAAATGGCTTTCTGTAGGCTGATTCTCATGTTGCTCCTTAAAGATATTAGCATAGTGTCATAGACTCAGAGGGCACACTCCGGTGTGAAGGTATGTGAGAACCGAGAGTGAGAAGTGCCAAGAGGCAAGCCTGTCTTTGACAGCTATTGCAAGCATTAATACTTTGGGCTTACTGGGCATTTAATTATTCGCACAAGTGATCTGTTCAGGTCTGTTCACATGAACAGGGGAATATGTTATAGCAGGGGCGCCAGGGTGGTGCTGTCTGTATGGACCCTAATCAGCTGCAGCCAGCATGGTCAATATTCAGGGATGGTGAGATGCTTACTCCTAGGTAAGTGTGTACAATGGGTTGTACAATCGCCATCCTTGAAGACAAAAGCTGCATGCCTGTGTATACTTAAGCTCTGTTAGACTTAAGAACAAACATTTAAAGGATTAAGCTCTTAGGAACCAAAGGAAGCTGTTTTGCATCAAGTTAGATCATTGCTTGATTGAGCTCAGTATTGCCTACACTGACTGACAGAAGCTCCTTCTGGTTTCAGGCCGTGGTCTTTCCCCATCCTACCAGGAGGGCCAGGGATTGATCCTGGGGCCTTCTGCATGCGCAAGGTGTTCTCTGCCACTGATATACTGTTCTGCAAGTAGTTGTGAGAAGTTCCCACATAGAGAGAGAACCACAGGCTATGCTAAATGCTCCTTAAGTGCATATCTCCTTGGTAGTAAAGCTACCATAATAACTATCCCTACATAGAAATGATTATCTTAGGGCAATTTGTGTTTACTTGGAACCTTCTTCCTTTAGATATAGGAACATATAGGGAAGGGTTCGTCAACTGGTGGCCAGGAGATAGACAGTTCCAATTGCACGGCATAAAGCGTCTCCTTCTGAATGTCAGAAGGAGCGACATTTGAGACTTCATTAGTTTCCTTGATTGGTATGTTCTGCACCTGATAATTAGGTCTGAAGATCTGAACCTCCCCTGGCAGCCTTGGAGAAGTTGCTTGGGAACAGCAGCTTACCAGAAAGCAACATAAGCCTTTTAATATATAAATAGCTTGGGGGCAGTCCTTCTCTGACACGCTGTTGACCCCATTCTGCCAACTGTTTTCTCATCTCAGAGAAATTGCTGATTTACATTATTAAACCAGTTCTCTGGATGCCTCCATCTGCATACTCATCTAGGACTATTGTAGGTTATGGGTTTTAAAGGACATTTTTATTTTGATAACCTTGTGGTCAGTGTTATTCATCTTCTATGCGTTCAGCATAGAATCTGTTTCTGGAATCTTAAAAATCTAGGTGAGCCTTATCAAAATAATTCCCTCCCTGGCCCTTAGGACTAGCCAGCACTTTCTGTAATAAACATAAGTAAATAAAAAAACAACCCCATGCGTTCTTAGCCTTGCCAGCTTTCCCAAATGTTTATAACTGGAATAGATAATGCAGGTTAAACATTTGTGCCAATTTTTTTATTTACATGATTTATTCCAAGCACAGAACTTGGAGTTCCCAAGCAGGCATTTGATTTGCTTATTTCCACCTACCCCACCGCATTGTTCAGGCCAGTTTAATTGTGATGAAAGACTGAATTTGGAGACTCACTTCTGCTGAGTTGGCATCATTAGGCACCTGCTGAGTCCCATGCCTTAGTGGGGGCCCACTGCCAATCCTGGGTGTCTCCTGTCCCCATGATCCTCCGTACTTGCTGCTGTCGCCTTGTTCATCTGCTCCCTCCAAGTGAGGAGGAAAAAGAAGCACCACTAACCTCATTCTGCCCTGTCCTCTCCCTTTGGGAGGTGTTGCCTGTGAAGCTCAGAGAAAGGCAAGTGAATGGGCACAGGCAAATTGCAATGGTGGCTGTGGCTTAGCATGGGTTGCCAGCACCCAGAGTTGAACAGAGGGGTGGGTGCGAGAGAAACAGAGAGAGTACACATGCACATTCAACTGCCTAACAGTGTCCAGGTCACCCAGGAGATTGCAGCCGCAAAGATAAGAAAAGAAGAGTCCTTCTGTTGTCTGGAGAGGTCACTTCCTGGTTTGCATGGAGAAGCTATTTTCAATGGAACCCAGTGACAGAAGCTGTATTAAGGCAGTACTGGGTGTTGAAATTTTGCACCTGGGGCAACCTGCTCTGTGGTCCCCTTGCTACAAGAAGATGGAGGAGGGGGTCCCACTCAAGAAGCGGGAGGAGGGGACGATTAAGAGCCCCTCACCCAAAAGGCCTCCTGTTTCCAAATCTGCTTTTTGTTTCTACGCACTTGTTCATGAACACATATCTTTTATGTGTTCTGGTGAAAAAGCTAGTGTTGGGAAATTGGTCATACTGGTCTTGGAGTCTTTACATGAGAACGTTGGGAACAAAAGTAGATGCATGGGCTTTGGTAGCCTTGCTTACTTTTGTGAGGGGGTTGGGGTGGGGTGGAATCCAGCACTGACTGTGAGCCAGAGTCTTAAGGTCTGACTTTTACTACTGGGAAAGTGAAAGATTTGTGAAGGGTAAGTGGTTACACACAAAGTAGTAGTCTTCTTGCCTCATGAGAGCTAGAGGTGGGCAGGAAAATACAGGAGGCAGAGAGAAAGTGAATCACAGTGCTTACTTATCCCGGGTGGAAATAGAATGGATGCTCTGATGCCAAGCCTTTGGAATTTTTTCTGCAACTGGCAGGTGCACCGTCATGACTAGGTTTAGAGGCAGTGCTCCTCCCCCCCCCCATACATTTTGCAACCTGAGGTAAAGGACAAGATGGTTTCTTCCACCAATTGCACATACAAATGCCAACCAGACAGATACTTGACTCTTACTTGTGCCTTCCACAGTACCTCAGAGCTACCTTAGAGAGGACAAGGTGGACCATGTGGCACACATAGCTCTGTTTGCTCTGTCTTGTTCCCTGTCCCTCCCAGTATCTGCTGTCTGAAAATGTCAGGCAAGCCATAAAGGTGACTTGGGAGCAGTAACTCTTTCAGCCACGCTTACCTCACGGGGTTGTTATAAGGACAAAACGCCGGCACGGGAACCATATATGTATGATGTCTTGAGCCTTATTGGAGGAAAGGTGGCTTATGCATTCAGTAACAAATTGAAACAAAATAAGAATCCAAAGAACTGAAGGGTTTACCAAGAAAGATATGAAGAAAACTCTGACTTAAGAGCTGATACTATTTAACACAGTAACTCCGCATTCCAGGCAGACTGTGCCAAAGTCAGTAAATTCCAGCAATATCAAGTGCTAGTGAATGCTATAGCCGTTCCTCATCCTTTCTTCCCATGGTGCCTAAACACAGTGAAAAGCTGGGTGGATTCTTATCAGAGCAGCTGGATATTTGGAACTGTTATACCAACAAACCTTTCCTTCAGCTTCACCTCGAGCACCCTCTGCTGGAGAGCTGTTCATTTTCTGTCAATCAACCGAAGCCCATGCTTCTTTTTGGAATGATACAGTCTCAGCATTCTGTCTTCTGCCCCTTCTCAGCTGGCCTATGTGCTTAGAAACATTATTTCACTAAAGCTGTTTGTTGTGTCTGTTTAGCTCAGTGCCTATCCAACCTTTTCTGATCCACAAACAATGTGATGTCAAGCTGGCTATGCATATGGTGGGAATACCATGCTGTGTATATGAAGTGAAATAAAGAACTCATTCAGATATGCATGTTTATTGCTTGAAGAATGCAATATTGAGTGATGACCTGCATGTGTGAATGAGCAATCACGGATCAGACAAAGCTGTTGTATCACCTGACCTCACTCAAGTGGCCAATAGCCAGGTGCAAAATGTGAATTTCAAATGCCATAATTAGGATGAAAGCTCAATAAGCAGGTCATCTAGAAGTGTCATGTATTGTTGTTTTAAGCACTGATCATAAGGGAAGAAACTCTTAGGGCCAGTTTTCCATGTTTACTAACATCAGGTGCAAAATGTACTCAAATTAACTCAAATTAACATATCAAACCACATACAAACACAAATTGAAGTGGTGGAAAATCATGAAGCACATACATTTTAAATAGATGGGCAGGTTTCGCTGCAAAACACACAGGAGCAGCAATCAAGTTTAATTTCCATGTGAAATCCAGCCATTTAAATGTTCATGAGCCATTCACAGTTGAGGGTGCTCACTGTGCATATATATCTTACCAGTTAAAAATGGGTCCCTTTTACACTTGAAGTGTGACTTGTCCCTTAAATGCTGTGGGAAGGGCAGGGATATGAATCAAGTCAGATAAGGATGAAGAGACCCAGCTTTCAGAAATACATACAGTGGTACCTCGGGTTACATATGCTTCAGGTTACAGACTCTGCTAACCCAGAAATAGTACCTCGGGTTAAGAACTTTGCTTCAGGATGAGAACAGAAATTGTGCTCTGGTGGCATGGCAGCAGTGGGAGGCCCCATTAGCTAAAGTAGTGCTTCAGGTTAAGAACAGTTTAAGATTAAGAACGGACCTCCAGAACGAATTAAGTACTTAACCCGAGGTACCACTGTATAGGCAATTTTAGTCACCAATTGATGAGGCAGTTTTGCCACATCATTTGGTATATCTGGCTTCTTGACAAAACCCTCTTGATTGTGACCTTTTGCTGGGATTAAGATAAGTAGGCATGGCATACTGGAGCAGTGTAATATTTTGAGTCAGCTACTTTATATATATATGAAATAGCTTGAGTTTGGCACATACAGACATTTCCCTTGCTATAGTATACTGAAGGAAGAACATACTGGGTTTCTTAGTTAAATTGATAGTCAATTCTGAAACATAGCTGTCAATGTTTCCCTTTTTTAAAGGGAAATTTCCTTATTCCGAATAGGATTCCTCGCAAGAAAAGGGAAAAGTTGACAGCTATGCTCTGAAATATCCCTGATGAGTCTCCCAGGATCCAGTTTTACAAGCTCTCAAATGTTCCAGATTCCCCTCAAATAATCTAAAGGCTCATGGAGACAATTCTACAATTGTACAATGCAAGGCTGGGGAGAACTTGGATTTCTTTAGGAAGAGGGCATGTTGCACTGGAGAGAGACAGAAGGGCAATTGAATGTGATCATATTGGACACCATAAAAGAAGACGTGGCGGTCTGTGGTTTTAAGTTCACATAGCTTCACACATGTATCTTAACATGTATCTTTCTTTCCACTAGTAAGTAGAAACTTATGGGCTTGCTGCATATTCCATGCAAACATAAATAGATCCCCTTTTAAAAGGGAAAAAAATACTTTGAGGGAAGATTCTAAACAGAAAAAGGGCACAGGAAGAGTACTTAATATTTTCCTTACTAACTATTTCGGTTTTTGTTTTTATCATTATGACACCCCTCTGTGTGTTTGTGCAGGATAGCTTGGGTATGAGGGAATAGAGCACTGTATGTAGTCATGGGAGCAGATTTCTATTCCCAGTAAAGTTTCTTTCACAACTGAAAAAGCGCATCTATTCACAGGTTTCAATTACAAAAGCACCCAGACTACTTTATTTTATTTTTATTTTATTTTTTGCAGAAAGGCCTGGGCTAAAAGTACTGGCGACTCAAGCTTATAATTTTGTCCAGTGTTATAGCACTGAAAACCCTTCATTTACTCCTTTGCTTTTATGTGGGAATTTTTTGTGCTTTGTTTTGTTTTTGTCAATAGGATCAGGGAAGACCAAGAGGGTCACTTAGGCGTCTAGAGGGGGTAAGCAAAACACCAGCATGTTTTAAAGCAGAGTGGCTCTCAGGTGCTGTGGAGGATATAAGTGAGATTCAACTATCTGTCCAATTGCCTTCTGTATGTAGAATTGGGTGTGTGTGTATACGGTCTTGTCCTTTGCCTCAAACAGCAAAATGTCTTGGGTTGGCCCTGCCTCTAAGCCTGGCCTAGCTATTAGGTGCGCCTGCTGGTTACAGTGAAAATCAGCACATTTTTTCTGGGGGTATTCAAGGGTATGCAGTACCAGACCCCCCCACCTCCCCCCCCCTAAATTTGTGTCAGAAATGGACTCCAGGGCTGGATGCTGCATTAGTTTGACTTTGCCTCTCAAGGTGGTATTCAGGGAAAACCGATTGTTTTCAGTTGCCTAAATCTGGACTATTACACAAATAGTGTCATCTCTCAGGTTGTTTTTATGGTGGCTTTATGCTGCTTTTTGTGCTGGTCTGTTTCTGTTTTTCTCTTTGTTCTTCTTTTTTGGAATCGATTGGTTTTTGTGGCATTAATGCCATAAACTGACATAGCGGACTTTATGATAAAGAAATGCCATAAATAAACGAAACATAACGCCTTCTTCTTGGATGGAGCCTATATGTGCACGCATGACAGCAAAATCCACAAGACGGAGCATGTCCCATATTACGTCAACTCCTGGGGTCAGCGGACAGGGCCTAGCTGTGAGTGGCCGGCCTGCTGACCACAAACAACTGGCCATTTATATTTTCGGACCCCAAAGACACAAATAAAGAGACAGAGGAAAAGGGACAGAATGGTGTCTATAAATGGCATGGTGAAATAAACGTATTAAAGGCCTCGCCTTGGTCCAGGGGAGATTGGTCTGTTTTTCTGAAATACAGAGGAGGAAATGGCTAACTACCTCTGTAGGAGGTGGTTTTGGGACAGGATCTTTCTGCTAAGGAAGCCACACCTGCAGCAAGACACCAAACAAACCTCAGCAGTATTGTTTTTGTGGTCTGACATTTAGGCCTGTGTCATACAGAAAAAAGAATGAAGAGGTGGAGAAGGGGAAGGTGGGGTGAATATCTGGCCCCATTTAACCTCACAAGGTTGTCAATAAGGAATAAAATATTTTGTTTTTCTACAATGGTTTTGGTTCAAAAATATCAACCTTTCTCAATGGTTAAACCTGGATCTCAAAATGTATCCAAATCACTTTGACACAGCTTCCATGTGGCATTTGCTGTATCATTAAAAAAAAAACAACCAGCAAGAGAAGGTTATTGTGCATTATTCTCCTACCAAAGTAGTAAAGAGAAGAAGAAGAAGAGGAGGAGGAGGAGTTTGGATTTGATATCCTGCTTTATCACTACCTGACGGAGTCTCAATGCGGCTAACATTCTCCTTTCCCTTCCTCCCCCACAACAAACACTCTGTGAGGTGAGTGGGGCTGAGAGACCTCAGAGAAGTGTGACTGGCCCAAGGTCACCCAGCAGCTGCATGTGGAGGAGCGGAGACACGATCCCGGTTCCCCAGATTACAAGACTACCGCTCTTAACCACTACACCACACTGGCTGGGAAAAGCTGGGAGGATCAGTGAATCTCAACACAAACATCTGAAGTCCTAGCCAAACTCTATTCAGTGATGTGAGGCAACTTTAGGCTGCATTCTGTAAACTGATATTACCACACCTCAGCAGCGGCAATGCCCTTAGGTGAATTCATAGGATAAGCAAGATGTCTTAATTGTTTTTACATTGATTGGGGTTGGGTGGGATCATTTTACAACTGTGGTTGAAGATACCCTGGACACTTTACATGGGAGATACAATACAAGGGTAACACATTGCAAAGACGCGAGAGGCACAGAAGTGGCATGGAGAACAAGGGATGAATGTGAGCAAATAATACAGCCATGCATACTTGGGTGTTGTTTCAGTAGTGGTTGGTTGAGGTTGTGGGACGGTTGAAACCAGTTATTTGGTTTCTTCCCCACCCTTTCTCCAAAAAACTCAGCATGGCATATATTGTGTGTCTCCTCTCAACAACCCTTCAAGTCTAAGGGATAGTGATGAGCCTAAGGTCACAATCACCCACTTTTCTTTCTCCCCAATTTAAGTCCAGCCTTCTAAGCACTATCTGTTTAAGCAGGCTTAAGCTGGCTCCTTTGAGTGTCAACATTTCTGAATTTTCTTTGGAACGATCAAAACTGATCAATAACAATCCAAGTGACACCTTTTTCATGTTCTCAGGTGCAGAAGCTGTAGTGTGTGTGTTTGTGTGTATTCGTGGGTGTGTTAGAAGAATGGGGTGATTAATTTTGTTGTGGTGTATGGCCTCTGCCTGCATGCTTGATGCCTTCTGTTGACCACGATGACTAATGACACTTTCCATTTTAAACCAAAGAGACTCAAGCAAAGATTATATTGTTTGATGTGGACACATGATTACTCAGAAAACAGTGAAACGAAGCCAACATTCTTTTGCCTCTGCTTAATAAGCCGTAATTTATTTTTCTTCTGGAGTCTACAGATAATGTAAACTTCTCTCCACTAGAACTACTAAATGTTCCCAGTTACTGTATCATGATTAAGTTACTCACCAAACACGAACACCACAGAGACCAGTCGGCCTGCCTCAGGATTTCTTTTTGTTGTCCATGTAGAAGGAAATGGTCAGGCAGCTTTAGGGTTACGCCCCACTGATGCATACTGACAGAACTCTGAAGCAAAAGGTGCAGATGGGTCTGATGTTTTCTCTTGATCAACAAATGAATCAATGGATTCATAGGACGGTTGTTAGTTCAGCAGGTTGATTGTGAGAGCCTTACCTGTAAAATGCTAGACTCCAGCAGACAATTTCTTTCTGGGACACCATTGTCACCAGGTTAGCAAATATTTTTTCATGATTTGTGGGATAGATTCTTTGGTTTGATTCCACAGAAGGAGTTCATAGTGGATGAAATACTCATAACATGTTTTCACCTAACAAAGGCTAAGAACATTTTAGTTAACTCCTAATACAGAAGCTACTTCTCAATTATCATTAACACAGCATGAATTACCTGTACAGATTTGCATCTTTTTATAGCAGAGAGGAAGAGAAGCACATGGAATTAACTGCTCTCTTGACTGCACTCTCTTAAGGTAGCATTAGGAACAAAGGAAGGAATAAGCTAGGGATATATGAATTATTCCTGAAGCATACAGGTGTGCAAACTGTTTCAAAGTACTTTTGCTTAGCTCTAAATCAGGGATGGCTAACCTGTGGATTCCGACTCCCATCAGCCCTAGTCAGCATGGCTAATGGCCAGGGATTATGGGAGTTGTAATTAAACAATATTTGGAGGGACACAAATTCATTAATTCCTGTTCTAAATAGGCAGGGCAATATATATATTTATATCCCTGCCTATTTAGAACAGGAATGTGTGTGTGTGTGTGTGTGTATGTCATGGGGGTCAGTAGGGATGATGCGTATGGATCCCTTCCAAACCTGTGATCCTGTATATGTGAGGCTAGAGTCCCTGAGAGAAAGCTTGCTGAACCAGTCAGACTAGCCTTTCTGTTAAGGTAATAGCCTCAGCTGTCCAATTAAGTACTTCCATTTACATGCCCAAAGAGATTTCCATAGAGACAAATGGGTGGGTCTTTTACCACCTCACCTGGCTAGATGCCACCTCATCCTAGGATAGTGAACAATAGGCCAAGAAAGGAGCTGTGTGTGAGAGTGAAGTTTGACTGATGCTGGAAGCTGGAGGACAAAGGCATCTCTGCTTTGACCTGGTCCCAAAGCTGTGACTTGGGGCTTCCCTGGAACCTTAGTGGGGAAGCAAGGTCTGTTGGGATGGTGACGCTTTGAGGCTCTACATCATCTGTTCAAGTTGTATAGAAGTGAAAATAAAACCATATAGCCTAAAGATACCCAAGTCTCCTTTGACCTTCATTCCAAGGAAACTGAACCCTAGGTAAACTCTGGCACCCCTCTTGCCTCTCAGAGTTTGGGGTACATGCAAAGTATTGTGCTCTTTTGTCATAGAGCTATCTACATATCCCATGTTGGTTGGGTTGCAGAGAACTTCCTTGTCCATCAATAGTTTAATATGCATGCACTCTTATTTTCCAATATAGATGGATTTTAGGATAGGAGCAGCAAATATTCTGAAACTCCTGCCTACCATAGCAGTAAAATGTCTCATTCTCATTTTTGCAGTCTTGTTTATCTTCTATGGATAAAATTCTAACAATATAAAATTTTATAATGTTTTCTTTAAGACTGATACAACAGTAGGCTTCAAGGGCGGAAACACTTTCCCTTTCTTCCCTTTTATTTATTTCCAGTATGCTATTCTGGTTCCAATAATAGAGAATACATTTTAGGCAACAATTCCTTTGTAATCTTAAAGCTTCTGTAATTGTTTAAAGCTTTTTTTAAGGAGTGTTTCTTAAGATGGTTATTATAAAAATCCCTTCACTGGAAATACATTGGTCATTTTTTTATTTTTATGTCTTAGATTATTCAGACCCAAACACTATTCACCTCGCATCAGTTCTTTGCATCTCTTTACGCCATAAGTAATCCAGTTTGATCTATTTTGATTTTACCCATAAAGGAAGTCAGCAAGGACACTGCAGAACTTAAGGGCCTTCTTAGTTTATCACAGACAGTTAATGCCAACATATTACAGCCAAAATCCTAAAGCAAGCAGAGGGGTCTTTAGGACGCTGTCAGGAGCAGTGCCAAGGAAGGTGCTTTCTGATTGTCAGTATTCTGTGTGAGGACTTCAGATGCATATTGGAAAATTATATTTGCATAATTAAAGTGGATTAAAGCACTCTGTTGCCCTAGTGCAACAATTTCACCGAAAAAAGGAAAGATTTTTAATTTTCAAAACTTTATTGAAAAGTTAAATGCTTAATAAACCTGAACAAAAGATCCAGGAGTTAATATACAGTCACTGCTATGAAAATGTGGCTTGGGGGGGCAATTCAATTTGCATCACTTGATATAAGGTTTAAGTTCAGTCCGGGGGGGGGGGGGGGGGAGAGAGAAGCCTTTACATGCTTGGAATATAAGTAAATTTTTAACTTGATGAGTATTGGCACTGCAATAAAGAGCAAGCAACAGTAATGCAGATGTTTTAGAATTGCTCTGTATTTGGCAAAAGGTACCATAAGTATTGTGATTTCCTTTTGAGTATAATTCAAACATAGTTTGAATACGGATTGGTTTGCATTTTTGCCTCTAATCATGAGAATCTTTCTAGCCGTTTGGGGATTAATCAGAGAACAGTAATTGTAGTTAGATCACACATTTTTAATTGCAAAAAAGAAATATTGCATATCCTCTTCTATGAATAAAATAGATTATGGCATGAGACTCTTAATCTCAGGGTCAGGGTTCAAGCCCCACCTTGGGCAAAAGATTCCTGCATTGCAGGGGGCTGTACTAGATAAACCTCGTAGTCCCTTCCAGCTCTGCAAGTCTATGATTCTATGTTGGCAATGCTAGAAAAGCAGCTTGCCTTAGGCAGAGAAAACAAGAAGTATGTTTCTAATGCAAAACATTTCTCCTCTGTATAGATGTCAGAACTGTTTCTCTGCAATGAACCATTTTCTTATTTGAATATGAATGCAAAAGTAATTCAGAACATAAGGTGAACCCGGCTGGATCAGGCCACAAGCCCATCTCATCCAGCACCCTGTTCTCACAGTGGCCAACCAGATGCCTGTGGGAAGCCGGGAAGCTGGACATGGCTGCAGCAGCACTTGGCCTACCTGTGATTCCCAGCAAATGATATTCAGACGCTTGATGACTCTGACAGTGGAGGTAGACCATAGGCATTGTGACTAGTAATAATAATAATATAATAATAACAATTTATTATTTCTACCCTGCCCATCTGGCTGGGTTTCCCCAGCCACTCTGGGCGACTTTCAACAGAACATTAAAAACAGAATAAAACATCACACATTAAAAACTTCCCTAAACAGGGCTGCCTTCAGATGTCTTCTAAAAGTCGGATAGTTGTTTATTTCCTTGACATCTAGTGGGAAGGCATTCCACAGGGCGGGTGCCACTACTGAGAAGGACCTCTGCCTGGTTCCCTGTAGCTTCACTTTTCGCAGTGAGGGAACCACTAGTAGCCACTGATAGTGTTAAGGTCAAGGTCAAGGGACCCCTGACCATTAGGTCCAGTAGTGACCGACTCTGGGGTTGCAGCGCTCATCTCGCTTTACTGGCCGAGGGAGCCAGCGTTTGCCTGCAGACAGCTTCCGGTCATGTGGCCAGCATGACTAAGCTGCTTCTGGCGAACCAGAGCAGCACACAGAAACACTGTTTACCTTCCCACCGGAGCGGTACCTATTTATCTACTTGCACTTTGACGTGCTTTTGAACTGCTAGGTTGGCAGGAGCAGGGACCGAGCAACGGGAGCTCACCCTGTCGCGGGGATTCGAACCGCCGACCTTCTGATCGGCAAGTCCTAGGCTCTGTGGTTTAACCCACAGCGCCACCTGCATCCCACTAATAATAGCCTTATCCTCCATGAATTTGTCTCATCCTCTTTTAAAGCCATCCTGATGTAGAGCTTTATCCCCCTCCCCACCCCCTTCTTCCTGATGTAACTCTTCCCTCATCCCTTCCTCCCTGACTGAGGGAGGATGTCATTTTGTGGTTTGCCTCAGGCACCGAAATGTCTTTGGTCAGCCTTGCCCATTGGGGAGTGGGGGGGGGGGAGACTTCAACTCAATAGTGGGAGGGGCTAAGCAGGCAGAGGAGGGATCAAAGGGGCAGGACCCAGGCTCATCACCAGGAACCAGGTGTCACTTCTGTAGGTGGGATCAGACACACCTACCCAAGCACAGTGCACATTTGAATACGTAGCGATCTTGCATGTTGAGAGAGTCTCAGCTCAGCTCATCTTTAAAAGCTTGGCAGTGGGAGCAGTTGGGATATCTCTGATGCTTGCACTCAATCCTGCATCTCTTGCAGAGGAGCCAAGTCCTAGGGGCCGTGGGGACTTCGGCCCACACAATAAGATATTTGAGGGGGCCGGGACCCCACAAAGTTGATGGGCATTCCTATTCAAATGGTATGTGCGCATTGCGTCATGTGATTGATTATGTGGGGCGGGGCTTACCTGGGCCCCCACAATATTTTATTCAAGTTGGCACCCCTGATCTCTTGCCTTGCTCATGTACTGAGCCCATGCTGCTATGAGCCTGAATAAAGTTCTCTTCCTTACTTGCAGTTCATAGTGTTTTGGGGCAGAAGTGCGACAGGTTGCTGAAACATGGCTTTCTCTTCTAAGTTCATGAAGAGAAGATTTTATATATATATAATATAGTGTGTTATGATGTACTTAATTTAGTTTGCTGTTGTGAACAGATATGGAATTATAAATAGGTAAGGGGATGTTTCTGGTGCTGGTATTTTGCATTTGCGATGGTTTTATTTTTGTGATAGCTGTGAGATATGAATGATATCCATTGTTATCCAAGACACAGTCAGAGCAGAGCTGTTAAAATCAATGAACTGGAGTTGCTTATGTCCACAGATTTCAAAGGGTCACATGCTATGTGAAGAAATACTTTCTTTTGTCTATCCAGAATCTTTCAAAATTCAGCTTCATTGAGTTTTCATATTATGAGGGGGCGGGTAATCCCTCTCTACCAGCTTTCTCCATATCCCACATAATTTCAAACACCTCTATCATGCCCCTTCTTTCTTGCCTTTCTTTGTAAGCGAAAAAGCCTCAAATATTGTCACTTTTCCTCTGACGGGAGATGCTCCAGCCCTTGAAAAAGTTGCACTTTTCCTCAAATTGCATCTGAGATGATAATAAATAGTAGAAGACACTGCAATGAAGTTTTTAATTCCCCCCCCCCATAAAAATATAACTTTGGTATTTTCTTAAATCCAAGTGGTGCAATGATGAGCTTGCTCAGAATTATTTTTTGTCCTCAAAGCCAGATGCGGCAAAATCAAAATTTAACTCCAAGGCCTATGACACTTTTGTTCAATAGGGAGGGCATGGCCTCAACACAGGGATGGGGAACTTGTGACCCTCCAGACATTGCTATACTACACCTCCGATCACCCCTGGACATGGGCCAAACTGGCTCCTGGGGTTGATATTGAGTCCTGCAATATCTGAAGGGCGGCACTTTGGTAAGTAGGAGGTTTTTTCAAGGGAAGAGAGTGCAGCCACTCCAAACGTATCCACCAGGTGTCACTCTTGCAAGCCAATTTTCAGTTGTATTCAAGGGACATGCCAAAACGAAGCGAACCAGTTGTAGGTAAATACCGTGAAGCTGAATTCAAATAACACATGGAACTGGCTCACCAAGTTGTTGCAAAGATATCACCAAACAGGCAGAAAGCCCATTTATTTTTCAATTATACTTAGGTTCATTTTTGTTGCCCCTAACTCCACCCCAAGAGGGACTAAGCATCACAACATAAACTAAATAGGCAGAAAGATAAAAAGCTGCAAGATAAATGATGATGGCTGTGCTCCCTCACCCATTTTTAGCTGGAAGGTGAAGGTGGTTTTAAGTTCTTACTGTCAACTATTTTACTACAAAGGAAGCCATTGGTTGTATAGCTGGGCACTATAGAGAGATATTGCGATAGGGTAATTCCATGTCAAGTGTCTTTTATCTTACTATTTTATATTGCTTTCATCTTCAGTGTAAGAGAAGGTCCCAGATCTCAGTTTTTAATTTTTTATCTCATCCCGTTTTTGAATTATGAAGGTTTGAAATTTCAAAAAATTGACAATTTTGGCCTTGACAGACTACACAAAAACCTTAAAAGCTCAGACCAGAATTAATATATTTCAAAACTAAAAAAACCCCAATCTCTTCAGAACTTCAAGGGCTCTAATATGATATGGCACATGATGGACTTACTTTAAATCTTAAAGTTAATTTACATTTTTTTAAAAAAAAAAATAAGTGATTTAAAAAACTAATATGCTTTAAAAATTCCCAAAAAAGTATTGATTATTTCATATTTCTAAGAGCTTCCGGCAATTTTTCATCTTGGGATTTCAACGGGATCACTTTAAAAATAAAATAAAATTGTACATACATGTTGACCTTATTGGGTTCTATTCAGGATGAATGGATCTTCCTGGAGTAAAATATAACAGAATAAAGAAGACTTCAAACCATAATACCAGTTACTTCAAGCATTTCCTCAAAATGTTATCCAATTAAAGGGTTTCTGAAAAGCTAGTCGGGCTTTTCTTTTAAGCCAGTAGTAGTGCCACTACTGGTTGCAGCTGCTATTTACATTTTCTAAAAGTGTTTAATTCACTTCACATCTGGTTTGGGCCCAAGGCAAGGGAGAGAGTTAACTTGGACTCTCTAGTGGCCAACCATGTATTTTGTACAAATTATACAAAATATAAATAAAACATTTACAAACAAAACACTTAAATAGCTACCTTTCTACTGGTAGGACGGGGGGGCGGGGAGCATGGATGTAGGCAGGCTTTTTGTTACGGGGCAGGCTTTTGTTAGGGGGTATAAGCTCTGATTTGTATTGATTTGTATTGAGTTTTACTTATGGGGGGCAATTACCCCCTGCCCCCCCCCAGCTACACCTATGGGCAGGGCCACAGGAAGGAAATGAGGTCAGAAGGGGGGCACAGTTGGAAAAAGGTTGGGAAACACTGATCTAGAAGAAGCAAGTTAGGTGGAAGGAGAGGAAAGGAATAGACAAATATGGGCAAGAAACTCAGACAAGCCTCCCAAACAGGCACTACAATATATTTAAAGCGCATGAAATAATTTGCTATTAAAGCATATAGACAAAATTTTCTCCCCGCCCCTAGCTTGTTCTTCCAGCCCACTAGATGTACAATGTACTTTTCATTTCTGTCCGATGTGTTCTCTTGATGCAGAATGAGATGAGTACAAAGAAATCCATCAGATTTTATGATCCCTTTGTATTAAATATTGATAACCTGACAGAATGTCTGAGGCAGCTCTCTGCTTGGCAAGAGGAATCACTCAGCCACATAAACCAAGGAGTCTGTACATAAGCAATTACTTAAATGTTACTGTAACGGGCAGGATAGACACAAAAGTATTGTTTTTACAAGACAACTGAAAGTGGGGGAGAGTGAGGGGGTGGCGTTGTTTTTAAGGAAGAACAAGAAAAATATTTGTTTAAAAGTTCCCTCAGGTTTATACCTCACCCCCACCCCCCCGAAAGAAGATTTAAAACAGATGAAGAGTGAAATTCAGTGTAGATAAATATGAGGAAACAAGTCTCAGTGGTTTTTAAAATACTATTTATTTAACTAACAAACAAGAAAAACACATATTTAAATCCACAGTACAGTGATACCTCAGGTTAAGAACTTAATCCGTTCTGGAGGTCCATTCTTAACCTGAAACTGTTTTTAACCTGAAGCACCACTTTAGCTAATGGGGCCTCCTGCTGCTGCTGCTGCGCCGCAGGAGCACGATTTCTGTTCTCATCCTGAAGCAAAGTTCTTAACCTGAAGCAATATTTCTGGGTTAGCGGAGTCTGTAACCTGAAGCGTATGCAACCTGAAGCATATGTAACTTAAGGTACCACTGTATTTGATTATTTAAATTACACGAATATAATTTATTATACAAGTGGATTATTTGTAACCATCTCAACATGCTGTACAGTGGTACCTTGGGTTACATACGCTTCAGGTTACAGACGCTTCAGGTAACAGACTCTGCTAACCCAGAAATAGTACCTCAGGTTAAGAACTTTGCTTTAGGATGAGAACAGAAATCGTGCTCCGGCGGTGCAGCAGCAGCAGGAGGCCCCATTAGCTAAAGTGGTGCTTCAGGTTAAGAACAGTTTCAGGTTAAGTACGGACCTCCGGAACGAATTAAGTACTTAACCTGAGGTACCACTGTAACAAAGGACTGAAATTAAATTTGGGGTCAGAGCCAAAGTATGCTGTTTGCTCTGATTGAGTACTAAAGAGCGGTTCTCCCCAGTGTGGAGAAGCCCTAGGTTTGCACATTAATTCAGCTATGCCTTCTGCAAGGGGTCTTCTTTGTAATCTGCCTAGAGGTTCAAGCTTATTCAGCTAGCCACAGCCAGGGCCAGAAACCTCCAATAAAGTCTGAAAATAGATATAGCTCTCCTTGTGGGAATTGACTAGGGCTTTCCTGCAAAGGTCCTGAATAACCTGAAAGAAAGAGAGAGAGAGAGAATCAGAAGCAGGGAAATGAGAACAGGAGTCAAAGGTACAGGGACCAGCTCAGAAAAAAGATGTCCTACTCTAATCTGTATCCAGGGGGGAGAGGCAAACTTTGAAATAAGTTATGTGGATCAGGCTGGAGAGTGTCAGACCCAAGAGAATGAACGTTTTGGTGACAGGTGCCTAGTTATAGGAAGGAGACTTTCTGACTGGCCTAGGCTCAGAAACAAAGGGTTATCATGCGAAGGACATTTATCATGTGAAGGATTATCACGTGAAAGACATTGCCATGGAAGGCAATGATTAGTCAGTCAGGAAAGGTGGAGGACTTTTGCAGGAAATGTAAATTTCGGTTTAATCTAATTACCTGGGGTTGATAGAAGTTGTTGCTTGATAGAAACTGCTCCTTGATAACTGTCAAGAATTAATTAATGCTAAATAAGGATTTCTATTTGCACTAGATATGGCAGAGATTCCGGGGGACTAGGCCTGTATTTACATAGTTCATTATGCATATCAGTCACCATGGGGAAATTCTCCTATCTTTTTGGCTGGAAGACCTCAGCTTCTCTTGATGGGGGTGTACCCAAGTCTGATTACCTCTAAATACACAGTATTGACTCCTGTGCAAAAGCATCACACTCATTGTTTGAAGCAAAGAGAAAACAAGCGCATCATTTCAGGGCATGTAGAGAGTTCCCCAAAGGCACACCCTTCCATTGTCTCCCAAGACAAAGGGATGCCAACCAACCAAGGAGAGTTCCAGTGAAACGATGCTACTGAAGGCTACTGAGCTCAGTGCAAATTATTTCCAGGTAAACATTGTGCTGAATGCCTACCTACAAATGAGACAGTCCACAATGGTTCATTGATGTCTGTTTTTAAACTTTTTATATGGCTTTATGGCATGTTTTATGTATTATTGCTGTAAAGCCCTTGGATGGCTTTTCTTTTATCTTTTAATGATATAACAGTATGTAATTATTTTTCAAACAAATAAATAAAACTGAAGCTAGGTGCAAGTGACTAAAATCAGTAGACAAAACTCCTTCCCAAATTGCCTGAGATGCCTACGCTTTCGTGCTGCCATTCATTACTTCCCTGGCCAAGCCAAGGCCAAAAGCCTTTCCTTACAGGGTGTCTTAGTCTGGACTATTCCCCCTTTGCTGCAAAGTGCTGAAAGGAGATGTCATCTTGGACGAAGCCTCCTGGCCCTCTCCAACTTTTTAATCATTAAGCGGGTTAGGCCTCTAACCAGAAAAATCAGGCCCCTTATGTTGTCTTTGGTTTGTCTCCTCTCCCTCTTGCGTGCGCGCGCACACACACACACACTTTCATTCCCGTAAAACCCAACCTCTCCCTGCCAAAAGTATAATAGCGAGCCCATGAGGAGAGCTGTGTGCAGAATACCAACGACACGGTCATAAAAGTATGAGAACAGCGTTCACGTCTAGCACAGCGGGACAATGGGGGTGGAAAATAGTATTCATTCAACTTCTCTTGTGGAGTCAAAGGCTGCTGGCAAGCAAGGATGGGTTCTAAAAATAGTGCCGAATCTTAAAAGGAGAGAAGCAATGTGGAATTAACTAAATCATTTCCAAATGTCTCATAGAGCTGTTCTGCTAAAACAATCTGGAGAAGCACTCGGGTCCTTAGACCACTGTATATACAGGAAGGAAGCATCATGGTCAAGCCCTCCTTGTTTTAACAAATAAAACAAATGGGTCTGAGTTGGTTTTCTATTTTATTTGTACTAGACGATGGCATATTAGAAAAGAAGCTGCAAGGTGCTTGGAGAGACACCTCCTAGGTTATCTTCTATGACCTGCAGTCAGTAGACCGTCTGCTTTGACACAAGAGTTTAAACGGGTCATACAAGAGCTGGAACTGGACCTGTCAATATCTGTCCTACTTTTTCTTTTATATTTTTGTGTCTCTCCATTCAGCAGAGGTCCCTAAGATCAGGCGGTTCGGGACAGAAAGAAAATAAATAAAAAGAAACTAAACAGTTTTGCTACTCAGTTGAATTGTGGGCTTTCGGCTGGATAGCTGCCTCCAGCCCAGCAGTATAAGAGGGTATCTCATCCACTGGGTGAGAAGGAGACTCAAACCCAGTGTTGGCTGCAGCGCTGGCTACTGCTCTTCCATGTGCCCCCCCCCCAGAGCTTGGCTTGAGGAACACCCTCTGGGTTGCCTCAAGCTGTTCATTTCCTATACCTTGAAAGTAGAACTTCTGTTTAGGAACAGCTTTGTGTCTAACCCAGATCATTCTTCAGAGATGAAAAGGATTCCCGTCCCTCACTTTCTTTTAACCATCCCCTTGATTTGTGATTGCTTTGGCAGAGCACCCCCCCCCCCGGCCACCGTTTGTTTTGCAGGCGTATCTCAGAAGCGGGGGGGGGGGGGGTGAAAACATTTCCCCGTATCCCCTCTGCTTCTGGTATCTTCTCATAAGGCAGTGGTGGGCAACCTGTGACCCTTGGTCTCTCATTTCATGCAGGTGAGCAAGGTGGGTGGAAGCAATGGAGGAATGTTGAGAGGGTGAGGGAGAAAATGGGGGGGGGGACAATTGCTATTATCTATGGGCCTGTAGAAATTCTCTTTCAGGACTGAAACCCAGACACCCAGACGGTTCAAGAAATGGCTGAAGGGGAAATCACGACATTCACAGCTCTGACAGAGAAGTTTGATCTCCCAATGGGGAATTACAAGAAGCCCAAACTCCTTTACTGCAGCAACGGGGGCCATTTCTTGAGGATACTTCCTGATGGCAAAGTGGATGGTACAATGGATCGAAATGACCAACACAGTAAGCTTTTACTTGCTTTTTATCAGTGGGTCTCAAACTGAAAGAAACCCTTATGGTGGTGGCCTATTAGGGTGGTCTTTGGTAATATGGTGCCCTGAGCGAGGCCCCCAAATTTATCTTCTCAATTATGAATCTTCTCTGTTTTGCACCCCCTGGACTTTGTTCCCTGTGCAGGGGAACCACTCACACCACCCTAAATCCAGCACTGGACCTCTCCACTATGGAACCTTTGATCATTTGCCATGGAACTTGACTGTTTGGCAAAGGATCCTGGTGGCACATTCTAGAGTGCACTGTTGTGGGGGGTTTCTGCTTGACCAATGAGAGCTGAGTGTAGCCTAGGACATGCTGAACACCAAATCTCTTTCTCCTCTACACGACAATGTAGCAAGCACTGATGTTTAAAGCATGCCAAAGGCTTCCCATCTATATGCATGTGTTTTTAATGTTTGTGTCTGTGATAATTCAACATTAAATATGTACCCATGTGTAAGTTAAACCATTAAATATAAACCACCACCCCTAAAACACAAATCATAGCCGCAACCACAGACACAGGTAGCTGAAAACCAAAAAGAACTGCAAGCCAGGAGATAATGGTTCGATTTGTGTGATCAACGGACATGTGTGCAGGACGTCTGAACAGAGTCCCTGCAATGCGCAGAATGATCCTTCCAGGCGACAGGGAATCTTACACTTGGAGATAGAGGCCGCTGTGGGTCCAGCCACATATCCAGAGGCTTCATCCTGCTGCATTTCCCTTACGTGTGTTCACTGATCCCACAGCCTGAATGCATGAGATTCAACAAGATAAAGACTGCAGCTGGTTAGGAGGATGTCTGCATTGTGCATCACAGTCTGTAGGGCATCCCCTGGCTCTTTCCATAGACCTCAGTCAGAAGCTAGTGTCCTGCATGTTGCTCTGTAACAACCATTCAGCATCTCTCCCCTCCATTCTCCCAGACAGTATCTAGTCAGAGAAATGTGTGGAGTGAGTTCTCCTTGTTCAGCGTTTCCCAACCCACTGCAAGTGGAGAAAATTTGACGGGATACTGTTACACTGAACATGCCTTTTACAAGAAATTTTACTAGGCGAGGTGCAGATCTATGGCAGCGATATGTCCCTTATAAAGTCGAGCTCAGCCCTTAGCCTGCTTCAGCCAGCAGCATTACCATAGCAATCTCCTGCATGTACTGTTGGTCTTGATTGTATAGCCTTATCCCTGCTCATTTTAATCAAACCTATTGAATAATTGCCCTCATTGGCCCTGTGTATATTATTACATATAAATTCCAAAGCACAGGGAACATGGTGCTCTAAACCTCGGAAAAAATGATGCCCTGTATCCCAGAACACCGAGGAAATCAGGCTCAAAATCATTAATTAGCATGAGTGATGGAATATGGGAAAGAATAAATAAAAGTGTCTCTGATCAGACTTCCTTCAACGCCTTCAATGCCTTCAACGCGTTCTCCCCCAGCCCCCAAAACTAAATATATACACTCTTAGAATTACGGAGGAGTACTTTAGAGTCGTTCACGACTGGACGTAACTGTCAGGGGTCTTTTACCTTTACCTTTTACTTTACGCATAGAAGCCAGCACCCTTGCCCAGTTTTCAGCTGACTGGCTTTGCAAGAGGTTCAGTTACGTGACTCCTTGTGATCCCTTCCAACTCTACAGTTCTATGATTTGATGACCTTCAGGATGGGTCAAGCACAGTGATGAAAAGCAGCAGTCGTGGCACTGGTGCCAACAATATTATAAAACACTTAAATCCTACCTGCCCATATTTCCTACTTGACCATATCAATTTACTTTCCATGTTTGGGGACCGTATGCAGTACCCTACAGTAACTGAAGGTCCTATGGATAAGGAATGTGTTTTATCGCTGTTTTGTATAGGATGTGTTCTCAACACAAGATCCATTTTCCTCTCCCCCTACACAGCACTTCATAATGGATTCCTGAGGGAACAGAATCTGCTGAAATGCTTATTCTGTGCTTTAACATGATGGAGAGAGGAAGTGGGAAGGACGAAGAATGCATGGGAGCCAATAGTTTCCTCCTTAGGACAAGAACACTTTATTCCCTTACTGGGATTCAGTGCTTGCTCCTTGCGCCGTGTGTTCTGAAGAATGTCCTAAACTGACTAAACAGGGCTTTAAGAGAGACTTTATCCTTGATCAGTTAAGAGCAGCAGTTTCCCAAACTTTTGCCTTTCATGCATGTCCAAACTACAATGTTAGGAGCAAATGCATTGCTTCCAGTTTCGTCGTGGACGGTGTCACATGACTATTTCATAAAGTACTTGTTTCCTACCCAGAACACTGCAAAGCAGGAAAAAAATGGGTCTTGCCAGTGCTTTTTTTTTCTGGGGGTACTCAAGGGTACACAGTGCCAGCACCATTTTTTTCCTAGAAGAAAAGCACTGGGTGTTGCCCTGTAATGTGAATCAGTTTTCCCATGCTGCCTGATGAATATGGCCTAGTGTTTAGCATCCTTCCTCAGCATCAGGGGTCAGCAAACTTACTGCGCCTCGGACCAGTGTCTCCAGCACCGATTGCACGGTGGGCCAGAGGGCAGGGCAGCGTGTGCCCATACGCGTGCGCACACGCTATTTCTGGTGCACTTCCGGGTCGGAGGAGCACCAGAAATAGCTTGTGTGCATGTGCACAGGCCTCCTCTGACCCGGATGTGCACTGGAAATAACACTTGCGCATGCGCACAAGCTATTTCCAGTGCTCCTCCAACCCGGAAGTGGGCAGCCGGGCAGCGCAGCGCAGTGGGAGGCAGCACAGGCCAGATAAACGAGTCCCTCGGGCCTTATCCAGCCCGCGGGCCTTAGTTGGGCACCCCTGCTCAACATGATGCCTTTCAGATCTTTTGACCTACAACACCCTTCAGACGTGTGTCTGTCATGGTGAAGATGCTGGACTAGGACCTGCCAGACCAGGATTCAAATCCTTCCAGAGTCACTGGGTGACCTTGGGACAGTCACAGTCTCTCAGCTTAAGCTACTTCACAGGGTTGTTGTGAGGATAAAAACTGGGGAGGGGTGAGAACTGTGTACATCATCTTGTGCTGCTCAGAGGAGAAATGGGATACAAATGTAATAAATGAATGAATAAAACCGCCAACCACTCACTGTGCTGGTTGGGACTGATGGAAGTTGTAGTCCAAATCATCTGGCAGATGCCAGGTTGGGGAAGAGGTGTGTGTGGGTAGCTCAGAGTGTGATTTGCAGGTACAATCCCTGTATGGGACAGCTGCATATTCCTGCATTGTATGGGGTTGGACTAGATCAGTGGTTCCCAACCTTTTTTTGGCCATGCCCCACCTAAGCATCTCTAAAATCCTGATGCCCCACCCCACTCCGTGACATATAATTCCTATTACTCAAAAAGTGAAATCCTTTTCACGTGGAGGAAGCCTAAAAGGTCTGACTCATTCTCAAATTGCCCCCCTTAAAAATCAAATTGCCCTCCTGTGGGGCGTGTGCCCCACGTTGGGAACCACGGGACTAGATGACCCTCCGGGTCCCTTCCAACTCTACAATTCTACGATCTAAGGCAGCTGTGGAACTCTACCTGTATCTATGTCATTAAGAAATGGCTCTTTTCTTTACAAAATCATACATACAGATGGCTCCACCCATGCGAATCTGCGTTTTGAAGTTCCAACGCTATTACAGTCACAAAATACTTGGGAGGCTTGTTGAACTCCTTTGTCCCAGGAAGCTGGCGGGTGAGATTGGCAGCTTGATACTGGAAGATGAGACAGGACAATAAGCTCAACTGTTGTGATGGTCCAGCAGCTCTGACATGCATCGTGCTCCACTGTGCACTGGAACACACACTTGCAACGCACTGATTTCACAGGAGGAGCCTCTTCCTGCCCTGTGTGTGTACTCTGTGCTGCTGTGCACTTACTGGAATACAGCTGGGCTCCCTGCTGCAGGATGTGCTGACAGGAGGCAGTCAGACGCGCTCTCCAAATTCTAAGAAAAGCACCTTCTTCTTTTTTCTTCTTTTTTAAAGGAAAGCCACAGGAATATGTGGTTTCCCTCCCCTGCCCCAACTTTGCTCTCTGGTTTGTTTCTGAAGTCAGTTTATGGCAGAGGTTTAATTATAAATGCCATTTACACACTCACACTCTCACACACACGCTCAACAGTGGACTGAGCGAAGATGATCTCATCCTGAGTAAACATAGCAAAGGACAGACGGGAAGTCTCTAACCCAGAGTAAACTGGCATGCAACCTTTCAGAAACCCTGTTCAAGCAACGGAGGTAGGAAAGCAAACAAGGAGGGAAATCTGCAGAAGGCACACAAGCCTGCCTGCCGTTTGCAAGGAACAAGCTGGGCAAGATGCAGGAGGAGAGACATGCTCTGAAACACAGAGGCCCACCCCTCCCGACAAGTGTATTTGCTAACACCTCTCTCTTCTGTAATACATAGGCAGCACCAGCTCTAGAGCTATGTTTTTTGGGAGGGGGCATCAGGCAAGATGCCCTTTCTGAGTGGCCCCACTGCACTGCCATCATCACTGAACAGCCCCTGCCTGGTGTCCACTGATGCTGACCTTTGGTGTCAGCCCTGTGTAGCTAGCTCAGCATGCAGTATGGGGTCTGGGCTTGCACTTTTTGAAAAGAGAGCCCCCTCATCCCACAGGGAATCCTTGAGGTCAACCAGTTCCAACTCCCTGCTCAGAACATGGTCTTCATAAGGGCATAACGTCTTCCAAACTTAGCACTCAGAAGCAGTTACATGGCACAGGGGAAATATGTTTTGTTGTTCAAAGTAAAGCCATCAGTCAGTCCCACTGCCTTCAGGGAGTTCTGTGGACCTCAGAAAAGGTTTGCTTTTCACAGCAGAACATAAAGAATCTGGCAGGAACTCCTCTACCATTAATTGCAGAGATATCAAGAACAGGCTCCAGAGGGGATGCAGTGCTAGTCAAATTTCTTATGTTGAGAGTTCACTTCATCAGATGCATTGAATGCCATCCTGAGTTGGCAAGTATACACACATAGATAGATAAATATTTTAAGCTGAGATCTTCCCCACTTCACAACAATATTGTTTTTATGCACTGGAACACACACTCATAATGCATTGATTTCACAGATTAGTGTTTGTGTAGAGAACATTGTTCAGAACAAAGAAAAACAGAATCCACTCCAGGCTTATGTGTTTTACAAGAACTCCAAGAGTTGCCGTGGAAGCAGGTGCAAAAGACCTGCACTTAGATTTTAAGAACATGGTGCTGACAATATTCTGTCCCAGTGAGTAGTACAGCCGCCGCATTTTCCACTAGCTGCAGCTTCCTGACCTACCACAAGGGCAGCCACACATGGAGTGCATTGCAGTAGTCCAATTAGCTACCAGCCCATAGTCAGCCTACTGTGGTCCAGAAATGGCTTTACCTATCTTATGTACCCTAGCTGGTAGAAGGCATTCCTAGCCACTGAGATCACTTGGGTCTCTAGCAACAAAGATGGATATAGAGGCACCCCCAGTCAATAAACTTTGTTTTTCAGAGGAAATACAACCCTATGAAAAGCAAGCAATTGATAAATTATCTGGACTTGGGAACCACCCACCCACAGTGCCTCTGTCTTGCCAAGATTCAGAGTCAGTTTATTGGTCCTCATCTAGCACACCGCCAAGACTAAATTGTGCACAGCCTCTCCTGATTCAGATGTTAAAGAGAAGGAGAGTTAGGTATCATCAGCATACTCGTAACACCTTGCTCTAAATCTCCTGATGACTGTTCCCAACTTCATATAGATGTTAAACAGCATTGGGGACCAGATGATACCCTATGATACCCCACAGCACAACTGCCGGTGGGCCAAAAGTCAACCACCCAATGCTGTTCTCTGAAACTGACCCTGAAGATAGAGTCAGCTGGCAGTGTTTATTTTTCTCTTGCTTTCTATTATATTGGCAATTTTTTTTTGTTTTAAAAATGGAGTGGGGAGAAAAGTGGGGCCTTATTCTATTACAGTGGTGAGAAACTTGTGGTCCTACAGATGTTGTTCAGCTCCAATCAGCTCTGACCATTGGCCATGCTGGCTGGGGCTGAAGGGAGCTGGAGTCCCGCAACATCTGGAGGGCCAAAGGTTCCCTGCTCTATTGTGTATTCTGATCATCTGGTATTGAGGGGGATGCTGCTTATGTACACAGAGGTCCCATTTAGCCACCACCACCAGATGCTGGAGGTCCTCTCCTCCATGAATTTGTCTAATCCTTTTGAAAAGGCCATATAACACAGTAGCCATTGCTTCATTTTTGTGGTAGCAAAAGATTTTCCAGGCCTTCCCAGTGTCCAGCTGTGTTGTAACAAGGATGGATTCCTATTCCCTAATAGGTCAGCAAGCTGTAAGAGGAAGAACAGCTATGAGCTAGGAAAAGCATTAGCTCCATGTAAAAAGACACACACACACGCACACACACACACACACCCCTCCCTCCATGCATCACTTGCGCACTATAGTCTTCTCAATGATTTCTCCTCCCCCCCCCTCGGAAAAATGTTGCGTGTAGCCAGTGTTGCTTTCTAAAGGGTGTATGTTTGCTAGCCTGTGCCAGAAATGAGCTTAGCGTAAATGAGCTATTAAACTTGGACATCCTGATGAAAAAATATTTACAGAGGAAACTCCTTAAATGGGTATGTGCCAGCGGAATAACCCTAGTTACAGAGGACAAGTCTTGGGCTGACGACGTAAGTAAACTTGGGTGGTGCCCTCACTTTCCAAAACCTATTGAACTAATCTTTGTAATGACATTTCTACAGGGCCAGAGCCCTGACTCTGTTGAAGTGAACAGAGCCCATTTACATGGAAGGATGTGTACAAACAGCAGTCTCGTTTCTTTTAATGATAAGCAGTCCATCCTCTCACTCACACCACAAAACAGCCACAAAAGTAGGAAGAGGTCTTCTTTAATGAGGCATGGGCTGCTTCTAGGGGAAATATAATCTTCTCTTTCACCCCTTCCTCTCATGCACTCTCTCCCTCTGTATGTCTGTGTTTGCACACATGCAAATCCTGAACACACTTGCCTCAGAAAAAGTCATGCTGAATTGAATGAGCAGACATGAACAGGGCTGCTGTACAGGGTGGTGGATTGGAACCAATGGCACCACTGCCAGATTGTTGCTAAGTGTCCCTTTTAAAGCAAAGTAAAGAAAAAATGAGAGACAGAGAAAGGAAGCAAGAAGATCATGGGAGACAGAGAGAGAAGGTGGCTAATGGATATCTATGGCAAAAAAAACCCACACCTCATTGTTACTGACCCCAAATTACCCACTGGAGTTTATTATATAAAATAAAGGATTGGTTTAATAATTTTAATATAAATAAAGTCAGTTTTCCCCTGACTCTATTATGTAATTTCCTCTCTCTTTCTCTGTTTGGTGTTTGTTATGAGTTGTCCATGAGCAGCCAACTTTTTCTCAAAGACAAAGTCATTAGAGAATTCAGCATCATCTTTCATCTTGCAAGATCACATTTCTTAAAACAACAACAGCAACATGAATATGAATTAAGAATCGTTGCCCCAACCTCCCATAGGAAGCAGTTCTTGTTTTCATAAATGGCTGTTGGCTGCAATTTTCACATCTACTTGTAGCTGTGCATCCAGAGCTACTGCAGAGCCCAAGTGATCCTGGAGGGTTGTCAAGTTCTCCTTCAGCAGGGAATGGTTCATCTGATTGAGTCATCTGAATGTGACTTAACAAAATAATTCCCTGCCACTGGAAGAACCTCTGGCATGGGTGCATATTCCCCTTCATAACTTTTGTCCTGGCACACTGGGCTAGTCATTCTAACTTACTTTTTTCTGTGAGATGGTTCATATTTAAGGGGAGGCATTAAATGCTGATGACTGGTCCAGAAAGGTGAAAGGAGTCATACCAAAAGACTAAATGATCCCCTCAGATTTGGATTTTATGCAACCATGGAGAAGAAGGAAACAGAGATATTTGTAATGAATGACTTTACAAAAGACTGGAAAGCTGAGCAAGGAACAGCCCACACACCGCAGGTCTCAATTGCTGCAGGTCTCAATTGCTACACCCATGCCACATTTTTTCCCTCCAAAGAGCTTAGAGAAGCTAGCACATCCTTTCCTACATCTCTGGGCCACTGCTTTACCTTCCTGCTGCTGTTCTTACTATTATTTTCTATTGCAGTTCAGCTGCTGCTAAGTGCGGAAAATTTGGGTGAGGTGTACATAAAGAGCACAGAGTCTGGGCACTACTTGGCCATGGATGCCAATGGCCGTTTATATGGCTCGGTAAGTATGAGGTTTCTGTGGGACAGGGACTGGGGGAGGTTTTGAGGTTTGCAGATATATTGTAGCCCACGGGCAGCAAATAGACATTGTTTGTTGTTTTTGCAGCTGGGTTGCCACATTTTGCCCAGCTTTATTTCTGGAAAAATAAATAAAATAATGAGAAGCGATGTTCCAAAATACTTCCAGATACTGGATTTCGTATTTGGAAGGAGCAATGCTGCTTCTTCCTCCAGCTGCCAAATCACAGAGGGTGATGCCATTAGGGACACTGAGCCAAATTTAACCCTAGGACAAACAAGCATCAGAGATGTTGTATGTGCTGTTCACTCAGCAGGCTGGAGTGGTGGAAGGATAGAGAAGGGGCTGAAAAGAAACAACCCTGCAGAACAACAGATAGGTGGAGCCAAAAAGTTAGTGCTGCCTTCTTGACTGTTGCTCAGTGGCAGGCAGAAGGTTCAAAGTTCAATCTCAGCATCTCCAGTTAGGGCTAGGCTGACAAAATCCTGGAGCACCACTGCCAGACAGCCTAGATGGACCAACACTGAGCTAGATGGACCAATGGTCTGACTTCCTATAAGGCAGCTTCCTATGTTCCATCGAGGTTTCACAAACACATGGATCAACACAGAATCACAGAATTGTAGAGTTGGAAGGGACCCTGAGGGTCATCTACTCCAACCCCCTGCGATGCAGGAATCTCAGCTAAAGCATCCATGACAGATGGCCATCTAATCTATGCATAGAAACCTCCAAGGAAGAAGAGTCCGTAACATTCTGAGGGAGTCTGTCCTGCTGTTGGACAGCTCTTCCCTTCAGAAAGTTTAGTTGGAATCTCCCTTCTTGTAACTTGAAGTGACTGGTTTGGATGCTACCCTCTGGGGCAGGAGAAAACAAGCTTATTCCCTCTTCCATATGACAACACTTTAGTTATCTGAATATGGCTGTCATGCCTCCTCTCGGTCTCCTCTTTTCCAGGAGAAACATTCCCAGCTCCTTCTAGCTCTCCTCATAAGGCTTAGTTTCCAGACCCTTGATCATCTTGGTTGCCCTCCTCTGTACACATTCCAGCTTGTCAACTTCCTTATTAAATTGCAGTGCCCAGAACTGGACACAGTATTCCAGGTGTGATCTGACCAAGACAGAATAGAGCGGTACTATGACTTCCCTTGATTAGGACACTATACTTCTGTTGATGCAGCCTAGAATAGCATTAGCTTCTTTTGCTGCTGCACCACACTGTTGACTCAGAAGGGCGCTTCCAGACTATCACTATCTCTGGGTGGGATTCAGTCACACTGCAGCAAATGTGGGCTGCACAATTAACACACCTCTTTCCCCCAAAGACTAGACTTTTCCCAATGAAAAAAGTGATGGGGAAATGCACCGAAAAGTGTGAGATAGCACTTGCTTGATACAGAAGCCAGCACCATCCTTCATTGCTGACGGAGAACTCAGCTGCTTCATTTGCTTCCCATTATGAATGCACCTCTCTCTTTCTCTTTTCTTCAGCAGTTGCCAACGGAAGAGTGTTTGTTCCTGGAGAGAATGGAAGAAAACCATTACAATACCTACACATCAAAGATGCACGCAGATAAAAACTGGTTCGTCGGCTTGAAGAAGAATGGGAAAAGCAAACTGGGACCGCGGACTCATTACGGCCAAAAGGCAATCCTCTTCCTCCCCCTGCCAGTTTCACCCGATTAGATAGTTTCCCCACGTAGCAAAATATGTTCCTTAGAACGAAGCAGCCAGTAGACTTTTCCCTTTCCTTTCCTTCGATTCTCCCTCCTGCTGGGGAACATGAAAGAGATGTGGGAGATGGAAAAAATGCAAAGCAATTCCATAAAACATGCATGTATACAAGCAGAGTGCACAGGCATCTCAGACGCACTGCCTCCAAAATGAACCAGGTCACTTAATAGTCATACAACAGAACGTACCTTGGTGTTCAGCTTCTACGGTCATATATGTAGCAAAGCTCCCCTTTTTCTGAAACCCGCATTTAAACAATATGATCTAACTTCCAGACAGCTTTTTCATAATCCTTGTGTATCACATGGAATCATAACCAACAATGCTGAAGCTATCCTATTATTTAAAACAAATCTAACTGTGTGCTTATAGTACCAGGATCCTTGCTTCTTAAAAAGTAACATTGCTCTGGTTCTTGGTAATATTTCTGTAATATATATTTATTTATTAATAAGACTGTATACAATCTATATTATTAGGCCATTTTAACTGTAGACAATCAATATTGTGTACATTACATAAGACCAGTGCTTTTTTTCCTGGTGGGGACGCAGGGGTACGCATACCCCTAAACATTTTGTGAATCTAAGTTTGGCCTCGTTGAGGGGCAGTATTTCAATATGAGCAGGAAAATGAAAGTACCCCTAAACATTTTTTTTAAAGAAAAAAAGCACTGCATAAGACAAGATCTTGAATACTTTGGCAAGGAAAATGAGCAAACACAGAACAAATATAAAAACATAGTGGAACATTTATATACAAATGTAACTCCAGTTGGAAGCAATGAAAGTTTAACCATGAGCCAAAATCCTGCTGATTTCAATGTGGCATTAAAGATGTGGTCTGCACTGTGCTGATGGTGACACTTAGCCCCACCCCTCAAGACCAGCACAGTCTGTTGAGCCCCAGAAAACCCCAGACAAACCAGAGATCTGGAGCTGGCAAGGCCCACAGGCCATGTGATAAAGGCCAGCACTGGTAAGGGGTAGGTGCAGCCATCATAAGAGCCCCCAGTTAGGATGAGTGTTGCAGCTGGGCTTGGTGCTCCAGGCTGATGGGGCTTTATTCCACCAGTCACCGTTACATGATCAGCTATGTCAGAACCAATGAACAACGTGCTCTTTGGTTGCCTGATGTTTTGGGGGAGTGGTGGGGGCAAGGAGCTCTGGTAGAAAGCAGATTTCCCTAGGGAACAGACTTAGAGAAGTGTGATAGGAATTCATTGTTCATCTGCAGTCATATTTTGCCACATATTTCATTTACTTGCCGCAGGCATAAAAACAACCAGCTTAACTGTATGCAATGACTGTGTGGTTAAATAACCGAATTTCCAACGACCTTCTAAGAGAACTTGCACTTTTCTCTGTCCTTGCAAGATACATGGAACCTTGTTGTGATTTGCAGGTCATATCCCAGGTTTCGCGACCTCTTTAAATTCCATTGATTTCCACGATTTTGAAGGAGGGTGGGCCTGTTTGCATGCCATAACTCTAGAATCTAGATCATTATAGGGGCTGCAGAGATGCTGCATTCAATGTTGACTAAACACACAAAAGTGGGAGCAAAATAATGCACTTTGGCCCTGACCTAAACCTCCCCCCCCCCATTCCCAGCTACATGCATTCAGCATCATTTTTCAAAAGAGCCTATTTATCTGCCTACAATACAGGCATAAGCTCTATGCTGAAGGAGAGGACAAGACTAATAAACATAACATCTGAATGTAACATCTGCACATTCTAGAGTGGTTTGGGGATACAATTGCAAATTGACCAGTTGCAAAATGGCAGATGAATCACTTTCTTCCCTAGGTATTAGTACCGTAATCTGTATTATTTTACTGAATTTCAAAAGCTGCTTGATCAGCCATATATTTGGCATGCCACAGTTTTTAGTTCCAAGGGAGGTAAACTATGCTATCTTGCTGTTCTTATTTCCGGATTTCCCAGTGTGTTTTCCACAGCAGCAAAGCAGGCAGATTAACTTCTGATTAAACATTCTGCCTTTCCTGAGTTTAATTTTATCATTACTAATTACATTAATTGTCACTTACTACAAACATATCTCAAAGTGGCATACAGTTATAAAAGCATACAATAGAAAATTTAAAGTGTATCAAAAAACAAAAATCAATTGGCTAAAAGTGCTCAAATCAAAGCTTTTGTGATACACTAATTTGCTGGCAATCTGTTTTCTGTTGTACCTCAACATATCTGGCACTACCAAAGGACACCCTCAGTGCTTCCCCACTGTCAGTTCCTACATCTCACACCAGTAAGGGTTATTCATGTCATTACTTGAGTGTTTCCAAAAAGTCACACTTGGCTCCAGAACAAACCCAAACATAGGGCACTCTGTGTTACCCATTGGACCATCTGCTCCTAAACCATCACTGCAGGTTTCTGAAATCCTTTAGGCCCATTTGCTAATAACATTCCTCAATAGATGAAATAGTGGCCTTTTTGCAGGGATGCATTCTTGTGTCTTATTATTTTCTTGCTTTGGTTTGGGACAGGCCTGGGATCCTATAAAAACCATAGGTGCAAGGGGTGGAGAGAGATAGGCAGATTTGGCTTAGGCAAATGCATAGAGGGCAGGTCTATCCCTCAGCAGCTTGCTGTTGTTTAATTGTTTAGTTGTGTCCGACTCTTCGTGACCCCATGGACCAGAGCACGCCAGGCACTTCTGTCTTCCACTGCCTCCCGCAGTTTGGTCAAACTCATGCTGGTAGCTTCGAGAACACTGTCCAACCATCTTGTCCTCTGTCGTCCCCTTCTCCTTGTGCCCTCAGCAGTACCACTACATTCAGTGCAAAGGTGTTGGAGAAAAAACAGAGAACCGTCTTCCATTGCAATACTCACATTTTTAATGGGAGGAAAGTGACAGCCACCTGTGCCAATAAGCCCACCCAAAACAACTTGGAATAATTGCCCCAGTCCTGGGTCCCTCACATTCCAAGCACTAGCTCCAGATGTTGCAAGGCTGTGAGCTAAGCTGCATGTGACAAGGAAAAGCTTCCCAGCATCACTAGCCTGGTATTTGTGAACAGGAAGGATTTCAGATCAGACTACGGTGATCATAGTCTGGGCCATGGCTCAGTGGTGATCTGCTCTGCATGCAGAAAGTCCCAGGCTCAATCCCCAGGTAGGGCTGGGAGAGATTCCCTGCCCAAAACCCTGGAGAACTTCTGCCAGTCCGGTTCTCAACCTGTGGGTCCCCAGATGTTGTTGGACTACAACTCCCATCATCCCTGAGTTCTGGCCTTGCTAGCTAGGGGTGATGGGAGTTGTAGTTCAACAACATCTGGGGACCCACAGGTTGAGAAAGGCTGGTTTAGACAGCCCTGAACAAGATGGGTCAGGGGTCTGACTGAGCATAAGGCAGTTCCCTGTGTTCCTATCCTGAGCTTGAGCAAAGCCTACCTACCAAGTATTTCCAAAGGGAAAAAAACAAAATGTGTCAGAGTGCAAGTCCAGTTTACCTAACATCCTGTCTCTAGTCCTAGCATTGTGGGAGGTATTTCCAGGATAGCAGCTAAAGGAAGGGTATGTTGTTATTTCTTGGACAGAGGACAATTCAGGAAATCCGTTCCTGTCCCAAGATAGAAACTTTTCCTCAGCAAAGGAACAGAGTTCCACAGAACCAGAGTCTGCAAGAAATATGCCTCTGATTCACAAGGCACTTTTCTTATTTGCTGGAAACTTCTTTTCTCCAGTGTGTGCGTGCAGGGTTTTCTTTTCTTTTTACTGCTATAAGATACAATTCAACAGTACTACATTGCAGCAAGCACTTCGTTTGTCAAATGAGATCAGTGTTTCTTTCCCACCATTCTGTTTTTCTTCTGTTTGTAAACTCCTGCCAAATTTTCTTCTCGCTTACTCCTTCTCTATAAGACCCCCTCCCTGTTCCCAGTCATCATCCTCTCCGGGGATTAAGCGTTTCTGTTGAAATGCCCAGCTGTCTTTTCTATCTATGTGCATTTGCTCCACCTGGCCTGCTGGAGACTCTCATCTGATGTAATCCAACCAAGAGGAGCTTCCCTGCTCTGTTTATGCTCCTCCATACAGTCTTATACAAACTGCTGGGACAGGAACTGACCATGAGCTTGTCCGTGTTTCCACTTGTGGACTGCCTAGAAAACGCGGATCCGAGCAATTTTCTCCTTGTCCTGCTCCTTTCCAAGGGAAAACCTGCTCTTTTGTGATAGATTGGAACAAATGGCAATCCCAAATCAACAGTGTTGTACTATAATTATGCAATAAAACAGTGTTGTACTATAATTATACAACAAAATTATACAATATTTATACAATAAAAGGATGGGGAATCTCTGGCCACAGATGAAAACTTCCCTATGACAATACATCCTTAAACAAAGAAAATGGTTTGTCAGGAGAAGGCTAGATAAGAACCCTTGCCCCTGACCTCTACTTTTCTGTATGCCCATTTTTGCTTTGTTTATGTAGAGGAATAGTCAATAAAACCCATGGTTTGAAATGGTGCAGAATGCAACCTACAACCTGATCTGTGCCTTCCTTGAGCTGAGACTTTATTCTGAGCAATACATGTATGCAGACTGTAGGCATGTTTTGAAAATGCTTAACAGCAAAAACATGGATCACTTCATTCAACAGTGCAGTTATTTTTTGGCTAGAAGACTTACATCAGGACACTTGTGATTGTATGAATATGCACCTGTCGGTTCTGCAGTGCAGTTAGAAAGCAGGTATCCAAATATCTTAGCCCTCTTGGATATGAGCCATCCTTCACATAAATGACTTAGCATTTAACTCCATAATTCATTCACCTTGATAAGGTTCATGTCCATTAACCTGATGCCGGAACAGCTTAATTTTGATGGATAATAGCTGGAAGCCCTGGGATTAAAAGAAGTGCAAGGACACAGCGGCAACAACTTTCGCAAAGGACCAAAACTGTGCACTAAAATGCAAATGGAACTCTTGGTGCCACAGGGAAAAGGCAAAGGAAAGTGCAAGGAAGTCTTTATGAAAGGAAGATACAGTAGTAGTACAGAGGTTAACAGATTTGGAACACGGCACGATAAACTGCTAGAATTAGTTTATGGGCCATCTACAGCTAACCAGCATATATAGTCAAGTTTTGCTACCATCTCTCACACACACACACACACACACACACACACACACACCTCTCTTTCAAAGAACCAGGTTGCCAATTGGGTGCAAACAGAAATGTCTGTGTGCACAGGTGATTGGAACTTCTAATTAAATCCGAAAGCTGGAAAACGGTAATATCGGATTTAGTTCTGCTGTTTCCCAGCACTTCATTAACCTCAGGGCATTCCTTTCATTAGACATCTGAAGCCTGGCTATTGCTAACCTCACGTGTATACTTGACACCCAACTGGGGGGAAATGTCAACACTCCTGCCTGAAAAATAATCCCCAGTAATTGCTCCAGATGGATGAACAGGAGAGAACAGCACTGCCAGCTAAAGCTATAGGCCACAAATTATCCAAAACGGACTTAAGCCTGCCTAAGCCCATCAATTTCAATGGGTTTAAGGCTGCTTAAATCTGTGCTGGAATATGGCCATACACGGTTTTAAGGAGTTTATCCCTCCTCCAGCTCAGATGAAGAGATGAAAGATGACAAAACCTTCCTTTTAAAAAATTGATTTAATAGATTATCGGAACTAAATATCTGTTAACGATGGAAAATGGGGGTGTGGGGGGCAGGATAGTTCTCAAGCTGCTGGGCTGAAGGGGGAGGTAAGAAAGTGAGTATATTTTGTATGAATGGGGCACAGGAGGAGGGTGTTGGAGGGTAGAGGATCTTCAAGCACCTGAAGGGAAAAAACTGAACAAGACTGCAGCAGCACAGGATGTTTGGAATGTAAAAGCTTTTGCAGAGAGGTTAACACATCCTCCCACAGCCCCAGGATAGAGAGGGCCCCTCGGTGTAATAAAGAAAAAGCTGGCTGGACATATAAATTGCAGCTCTAAAGCCCATGACAAGCTGGTAACTGAATAATGAGGATGAAGAAACAATCTGTAGAAAAGGAACACAGAGACAGAATTACTGGGTCCTATACTCAGAGAACTTCAAGCGGATTGGCATGGGGGGGGTGGGATTTCTTACAGGTTAGCTTTCTGCAGTTTGATGCACACAAAACATCCACATAAATGGAGCTGGTCCAGATATCTGTTCAGCCTATATATGGGAGACTATCGAGGGGCAATTAAAAAAGAGGCCTCTCTTTCTCCCGCTAAGCCTTAGGAGTTAAATTAACCCTAAGCTTGGAATGGGTGTGTTTCCCTTACCTGCCTTTGAGGTAAGGTTACCAGAGGTCCCCGTTTCCCGGGCACAGTCCTCAGATTTACAAATCAGTCTGCTGCAAAACCCTATCATTCCAACTTATTTCAGTGAAGTATCCCCAGATTAATTGAAAAAAATCTGGTAACCTTACCTTGAGGACCAGTTGCAATGAAAGAGAGATTTTTCTCTCAGGGCTCCCATGCCTTTAGCAGTTGCTTGGCAAACAGAAAACCAATGCCTGAACCCCCCACTCTCCTACCCCCCCCCCGGAAACTGTAGCAGCTGAATTGTTCTGTGTCTCATGTACCTGTTAAAGGCACAGGAGCCATTTTAGAAAACAGCTGGCAACTCACAGAATGACCTCTCTAGGGCTACTCAGTGAATGTGCACATGGGAAAACTGAATTTCCTTCACATGCTATGCCTAGGTAGCCAAGTGTTTGAACTGATGTGGATGTGTAATGAGTCTTCCTGCTCTTGTGAAAGTGCCTAACATGTGTACATGCGTAAGTCCCTTTTCACAAGAGTAAAAAAGCATGAATGGGTGGGTGCATTCATACTGAAGGGGCAATCCATGAGTGTGCTCGTCCCTTACATGTGTAAACATATATTGAACTAATTGTGGTTTCACAAGCAGGTTACCAACTAGTTTATGCCTTTAAGCACATATTTCGCCACAATAAAGTACAATAACAATAGTTGCATCTCAACCGATGACAGTATTAATTATTTCCTACGTTGAAAAATTCCACGTTACCTTTTCATTCCTAGCAAATCAGACCTTCAAAAAGTCCACAAATAATTCCAGTGGTCTGTCAAGAGAAAATTTTGTCAGGTGATGTATGCCGGCTGATAGACAAGCAGGTGAAGAGAAAATGCATTTTAAGCTTCCCGATAAAACATTTTGAGGGTGGGAAAGAGAGATGACTGATCATTACTGGTGACAACACCTCCACCTACGAGGTGATTCTCAGTCCAAGGAAGACACAATCTGAGGTATGGTGGTCCACATATTACAGTTGCTACACTGAGATGCTGCCTGCATGGTGGCTAGTCCATTACAGTGGTACCTCGGGTTACATACGCTTCAGGATACATACGCTTCAGGTTACAGACTCCGCTAACCCAGAAATAGTACCTCGGTTTAAGAACTTTGCTTCAGGATAGGATGAGAACAGAAATTGTGCAGCGGCACGGCAGCAGCGGGAGGCCCCATTAGCTAAAGTGGTGCTTCAGGTTAAGAACAGTTTCAGGTTAAGAACGGACCTCCGGAACGAATTAAGTACGTAACCAGAGGTACCACTGTATGTGGAAAGCATCAAGCAGTGCATGCAACAACTGTAACACCCAGGTCAGTTCCAGGGGGAACTAGAAAGGGGCTCCCTCTACCTTCCTTAGAGAAGCCCTCTATGTTTTTTTTAGGAAAATGGAGGGGAGTTCCTCATTCATTTCCAAAGCTTCTGTTTTCTGTCACACACAATAGAAAGTCTGAGGAGCTAGCAAGAGTCCACTCCCACCCACTTCTCTTCATCACACCTGAGCTTTTTACATTCACAGCCTACTGCCTCCCCAAAGCAGGAAGCAAGAATCTTCACATTTCTTTTTCAAGTCTTCCAGGTTATAAGCAGACTTTGGAAGGGATGGAAACCAGTATACAGTCTCAGCTGTCAGGAGGAAAGAAAATTAAACAGGCCTAAAGACCACATGCAGAAAATCTTGGAGGAGACAGAGTGTTGGGTCAGTGCTTGCATTCATTTTTCCTTCACACACATTTCCTGTGGCTTGTAATATTCCCCTAATGCTACTTCTACCAGCCCAGCAATCTCCTACCACAATCTCCCAGGTTTCCTCTCATAATATCCACACTCTCCTCCCAGTACTTTTCTCAATGCCTGTCAACCTTATCCCTCCAATCTGTCTTTTCTACCTGGACTCCCATGAGCTTCTTTCACTCCATCCTTCCCAACCCATCTCGTTTCCCCCCAGCCTCCCTTCTCCTCGGGGCCCTTTGCCTAAGATCCTGTTGCTCTTGCATCTGTTGATAGTCAGACCTTTACTTTCAGCCTCCCCTTCTCCATATCCATGCCTCTCCAGTGGGAACAGGCCGCAATCTGATAAGCAACACCCAAATTGTTTCAATGTAGGGTACCACACCACCAGAAAAACAGAGAGTATCTTCCAGATCTGAAAATAAAAGCAGTGATGAGCTTGGGGTTAGAGCAATGGAGGCTGGCTGGAGGGCTATGCATCAAATACACAAAATGTAATTCCCCACATCAAATAAGGAACTATGGTTCTTTCCTAATATTTCTTGATTTCTTGATTTTATTTTTATTGTTGTTATTGTTATTTGGATGCTCTGCCACTGAGCTACAGCCCTTCTCCTGATAGTGTAGAATCTCTCTCTCTCTTTAAAGAAGATCAAACTTCCTCTCCGAAACTTTGCTGAAGGTGGTCCAGTCACCATTCCACTTGCAAGACAGATAGATTCATAAGAATATGGTGAAGGCAAACATTACATTAATCAAACAAACATGTTGTGAGACCTTTTCTATATACCAAAGCCATCTACCAAATCTAAACAAGGAGCCTAACATAGAAAGAGGTTTTTAAGACAACTATGGGATTTCAATTCTTTGGAGAACTAAATCTATGTTGCTGGATTGAGTTAGTTGATCATCTAGGAGCAGAGGCTGACTTGGGCATTATGGCACCCTGTGTGATCCCAAAATTTGGCATGTGCCCCCCAGTCCCAGCTCTTGCACTGCCTTCTCTGAAGGCAGGTAAGGAGGCCCCTGGCTTTCGGAAGGAGATATGAGGGCACTAGGACCCTGTCAGAGCCCTCATGCCTCCTTCCCAAAGCCCAGCACCCTCTGCTCAGTGCCCAGTGCATGCACACCTATCACACAGCCCTAAATCTGTCCCTGCTAGGAGGATGGTCATGTTTTCTACTTTACAGAGGACAGTCCTCTGTTTGAAGTTGTCCCCTATCTGAAGGGCTGCTCTATTTAAGGAAGTCTTCTATTTTAAGGACTGTCTGCTTCAGTTTAAAGATAAAGAACCACAAGAAAGGAGGGCAGCAGCCTTGACGTTGCTCACCCAGTTAGCAACTGGGCAGGTGACTAAGCAGCCACACAAGTCATCTCTACTCTTACCCACTATGGTGAGATGTATTGTATTTCTGTTTAAATTATAGGAATTATTTCTCTTGTTTGGTGAGACATTTCCTCTCTTTTTTTGCAATGTGTAATTGACTAGCTGTCCTCTGATCTGAGGAAGAACACACAACTGATTCCTCTCTCCCACCCTAATCATGAAGACTTTTTCATTGTGTTTGTGTGTGTGTGTACATATGAGTGTTTGTGTACATATAACACTCTCCAATATGTGTATATGTGTGCGTATGTGCGCATGTGTTTTTACACAAATGCTGCTGCTAGTTAGAGAAGAATGTAAAATTGGAGATAATAGCTTCCATGTGCCCATGTTACCGATATACAGGGAATGGCATGTTGAATAGTAGACTGCAGATCAACTTCTTTGGATTCACATCTTTTGCCATGACATGATTTCTGCAAAGGGAGTGATCCCTGGATGCCACAACATTGCTCTAACAAATGCATCCCTTGTTGTGGGTAGATGAAGGTCTCCCAGGATTCGACCTACAAAGCTGAACTGATAGATTTTGCAGTCCCTCCATATTAGCTTCTCTGTGCTGCATGGAAAGTGGTCAGGGGAGTGTTGCGGACATCATCGTCATCATCGTAATTTTATTATTTGTACACCGCCCATCTGACTGGGTTGCCCCAGCCACTCTTGGTTAATGCTGATGATTTCATTATGACAAGTAAAAAGCCATGAAATTTAGCAACCTGTAACCACCCAACACTCTCTCTCTCTCTCTCTCTCTCTCTCTCTCTCTCTCTCTCTCTGTGTGTGTGTGTAGCTGAGTGCCTGAAGCAGCTTGTCTCCTTTGATTCTTAGTGGGGTGGGGGGAGCTGAAACACAGACCCATCACAGCATTAAAACTGGACTGGCGTCTGCTGGCAAAAGGACTCCATGCAACAACAATAACAACCCGGAGACACATTCAAATCCCTCATCATCATAAACCCCCTAACAAAACATAAGACCCTTGTCAAAAGCAAAGCAAATGTTGCAAGAAGCTGGTGGTAAGTGGGCGGAGGGGGGGAGGAAAGGAAAGTAGTTTGTTCAGCAGATAAAATAGTATGATTGTCTCTGGACTGGGTTTATTTGACCTTCTAACTTTCAGCCAAACAACATTTTCCTATTAAAGCCTTCCTGCTCAGCAGGATTAGGGGGCCCTGAAGCCCACCCTCAGTGCCAGGGCTTGAAATCAATTCAAAGTGATTTAGGAAGCTGCTGCTGCTGCCTGAGGCTGCCATCAGGGGCAGGAAAGGGCCTATTAAGCGCAAGGGAGGGAAGAATTGCTTCCTCTCAAATGAGAACACTGGGAGGCAGGGCAGGAATGCAGGCAGGATGCTACTTAACAAAGCCGGCTGATGGGCCTGTGTCAGTCTGACAAGGGCATGGGAGTGACACCGCTCCTTCCTATCGCAGAGGAAGAAGCCTGTGATCCTGCAATTGATTATCTCAAATGGTTCCGGCAAACCAAAGCAGGAAGCTGCCTTTCTCTTTCTAGTCATTATGCTTTCTTCACGGCTCGCCTTGCTGGGAATCCCATACGCAGCAATGGGGGGCAAAGGGAGATCTAAATATTAAACAGATAAAGCTAGAGTAGACCAAGCTGTGTGTTGCTTGTGTGCATGTGTTGTATGTTCTTTTGCTTTGTAGTTCAGAATATTAGGAAATATAGGATTCCTAGGAAGCTACCTTGTACCACAGTTAACACCTTGGTCTATCTAGCTCAGAATTGTCTGCTCTGACTTGGCAGCTGCTCTCCAGGATTTGAGAAAGGGGTTTCTTCCTAGTCCTGCCTGGAGACACCAGAGATTGAACCTTCTGCATGCAAAGCAGATGCTCTACCACTGAGCTATGCCTCCCCCCAGCCCCCCCAGCCCGTCTGCCTCGATACTTCCAGAAAGACTGTGATAAACAGGAAATAAACTCTCTGACCAGATTAGGGAGGAAATGGGTTTGTAGGCAGCTCAGAAAGAAGGTTCCCCAAAAGCTGAGAAGAAAGTAGGTTTGGACCTCCCCAAGGGAAGAAGAAACAGAAGACTCTAAGGTTGCCATGTGTTCTGTATAATGCAGGATTGTCTCATATTTCAGTGTAAATTGCTACGTCCTGTATTAATAACAGTTTTGTCCTGGCTTTCAGGTCTTCTCTCTCCCCCTCCCCAGTTAGGGACACCCTGTTAGGCTGCAATAGATTGTAATGGATTGCTTTGAAGTCACTTCGGCACCAGATGATGAAGAAGAAAATCTGGTATTAGTACTGGTGTGGCTTTTCTTGTGAGATCTTACCCTTCTCTCACAGTTTGCATAACTGGAGTGATGTGGGATGCCTAGCACCATCTCCAGTGAGCATGAGAAATGAAATGGGATGTTCACAGCATACTCATGGTAAAGGTAAAGCTGCAATTCTGGCATTCCCAAAAAAGCACCAGAGCAGGGATAGTCAAAGTAGTGTCCTCCAGATGCCTTTGGAGCACACTTCCTATCATCCCTGGACACTGGCCATGCTGGCTGGGGCTGGTGGGAGTTGGAGTCCGTCCACACCCAGAGAACACTGCTTTGGCTATGCCTACCTCAGTGCAATGCTACATCATGGGATGTAAAGGTAAAGGACCCCTGACTATTAGGTCCAGTCATGACCGACTCGGGGGTTGCAGCGCTCATCTCGCTTTATTGGCCGAGGACCCTGCGCAAAATCCATGGCACAAAGGTTAAGACGCAGAGCGGCAGTCCCTAAGCAGGACCTTTTGGGGCCAGCTGCCAGAGCACAGTGCCTCCAGTTCCCATTCCAGGCCAGTGGCCCAGAAGGATGGTCAGTGGTGAAGAAAGGCGCTGAGAGATGCAGGAGAATTTGTAGGGTTGCACTCCCTCCTATCCTTCTCCTAGTGTAGAGTGACCAAGATGGTTTAGTACCGGTCTCAGACATAAAGCCAGATTAAAACTAATCCAGATATCAATGCCAGTTAAAAATGTCTGGACTTGTATATAATATTTTTTAAAAAATTTTGGTCCAGTAGCATCTTAGAGACCAACTAAGTTTGTTTTGGGTATAAGCTTTCGTGTGCATGCACACTTCAATTGCTCACTTGATCACCGGCGCAACAACAGAAGATTTCCAAAAGATAAGATGGCAAAACAAGTCTCCAACACGCATCCAGAATCCTGTGCTGCAAATGCTAACAGGTTTTCTGAATGAAACGAAGCTGTTGGTGTTTGACCATGTAGTTCTGGCGGTGTATATTTCTTAATGCAACATGATATCACTGATCGAGATAGTGTTAACATCTATTAATATTTGATATGCTCTCTTTGTAAGGACTCTATTTTCTATAGTATTATTATCACTTTACAAGAGGCCTGCAGTCAAATGCATGCATTTTGTGCATTAGCAACATCATCATCATTGCATATTATATTTTACTAGAGCCCCACAGAAAAAAACCAGCTTATTTCAGCTCAGCGTGTGACTATCCCACCTCAACTCTGCCGTTCCTAACTCTATATGCCCTTCTTGCACTTTTCCTCCCCCTCTCAGACATCTAACTCTTGACCTTCATTTCTCCCTTTCATTCTTCTGATCAAGTTCCCTTCCTTCCCACACTTCCCACTTTCCCTGGCCTACTAACTTCTTAGAATGGTGAGTCCTGTCCCCCAATTCTCAAGTCTGAGTGGGTTTGTAGCAAAGCCCCGGCAGACCCACAATTCATAATCCAGGACCCTGTGAGCTGCAGATCATTTTGATGTGCCACAATCCCATGATGTAGCATTGCTCTGAGGTAGGCATAGCCAAAGCAGTGTTCTCTGGGTGTGGACGGACTCCAACTCCCACCAGCCCCAGCCAGCATGGCCAGTGTCCAGGGATGATAGGAAGTGTGCTCCAAAGGCATCTGGAGGACACTACTTTGACTATTCCTGCTCTGGTGCTTTTTTGGGAATGCCAGAATTGCAGCTTTCTACCTAACTACGGAGGGAGGCGGGTGGTGCTGTGGGTTAAACCACAGAGCCTAGGACTTGCCGATCAGAAGATCGGCGGTTCGAATCCCCGCGACGGGGTGAGCTCCCGTTGCCCGGTCCCTGCTCCTGCCAACCTAGCAGTTCGAAAGCACGTCAAAGTGCAAATAGATAAATAGGTACTGCTCCAGCGGGAAGGTAAACGGCATTGCCGTGCGCTGCTCTGGTTTGCCAGAAGCGGCTTAGTCATGCTGGCCACATGACCCGGAAGCTGTACGCCGGCTCCCTCGGCCAATAAAGTGAGATGAGCGCCGCAACCCCAGAGTCAGTCATGACTGGACCTAATGGTCAGGGTTCCCTTTACCTTTTACCTAACCACGGTAGCTGTTCCTCAATTTATTTGAGCCATGGACACCGGGTGCTACAGTTCCTTTCCTGGTGGGATGGGCACGGGGGGGGGGGTTCCATTATTGATGTCCTCTTTTTCTTTTGAAAGTACTATTTTGCTATTGCTAGAGTTAAATTTTGCCGTTAAAACAAGGGGGGGGGGGAGAACAAACAATGAAGCTAAAGTCAGTAGTTAAAGCTTTCCCCCACCCACTCAGCAACACAGGAAGAGAAAATGACACGGGGCAATTTAGAGAGGCCATTCAAGGGCCAAACTGGGGTGGGGGTGGGGAATTCATCACTATTTCCCCAGCTGGATCCACACAAAAAAGAAGAAAGTACTAAGCAGCAGCTGGATTTACAAACAGGAGGCTTGGCATTAAGAAGGACATTTGCTGAACTGGACTTACGTATGAGTAGACCTTACTGAAAGACATGCCCATGGGGGAAGGACATTGCGATGTGCTATTAAGTCATGTGCAGGACATCCACTTTTTTCATTCCGCTGCCAGCTAAATGGAGAAAAGCAATGTCTCAGCAGCACTAAATGGATTCTGCCCTGGAGTCGCCCTAGGGCAACATAGCCAGAGGCTCAATTACTACCATTAGGATGAATTCCCACAGTACATTGATGCATAAGCCCTTTCTCGGGCAATGGGAACTGCTCCCAACTTCGAGTGCATCCAAATAACATATCTATAAGCCTTGGGCTTGCCGATCAGAAGGTCGGCGGTTCGAATCCCCGCGACGGGGTGAGCTCCCGTTGCTCGGTCCCTGCTCCTGCCAACCTAAGCAGTTCAAAAGCACGTCAAAGTGCAAGTAGATAAATAGGTACCGCTCTGGCGGAAAGGTAAATGGTGTTTCCGTGCGCTGCTCTGATTCGCCATAAGCGGCTTAGTCATGCTGGCCACATGACCCGGAAGCTGTATGCCGGCTCCCTCAGCCAGTAAAGATGAGCACCGCAACCCCAGAGTTGTCCGCAACTGGACCTAACGGTCAGGGGTCCCTTTACCTTTACCTTTAAGCACACATCAGTCATGGTGGTAATGTACCTTTTTACATGTACACATGAAACATTTTAAAGGCCCACCTTTACGTTGTAAGGTGCAAAGGGACACAGAGTCACGGTAGATTCCTAGCATTTGCTGGAGTGGAAAATAATTTATATTTTTGAAGTAAAGCAAGGAGGAAGATCCAGAAGGGGGCAGTACAGAGGCAGTCACCAGCCTTGAAAAAGACATTTAGATTTATTTTATTTTATTTTTTGGTACTGTCATGCTTAACATCTCAGTAAGTCAGAAGCCTTTGGATTAAGCCCAGAAGAGGGTGCTGCCGACCTCTAAGATGTTACAGCAGGGGAAAATTTATACGCTGTAAGGTTTACCACCTGCAGTACAGCTAGCTGGTACATAAATAGAAGGCTTCCTTCTCAACACCCTTTCTAAAGGAAATGCTCCACGCCCCCAGGCAAACAGCAAATCCACTAAGCAAATCTCACCAGTAAGGAAGCTAAACAGTTCTCCCATCCGATTTGGACTGCAAAGACGCCCGGGAGAACTGGAAGAGGAAATGACACATGTACTTACATTTGCTGTGACAGCTTTTGCTGTAGCCTGGATGCAAACAAATCATGAGAAAAGCCACGTTTAAAAATAGCGAGCATGGGATGCCATCGCAATCGAAAGATGCTAGGTGACAGTTACTGGAAATGGACAAAGAAAGCAGATGGGGGACACCTAAGCGGGGGGGGGGGGTGTGTGTAAAACAGAAGCGGGAGTCAGTGCCAGTGGAAGACAGAGTAGAAAAACTCTACCCATAATTCTGAGTTAGGGGCAACCATGAGACGGAGGAGGAGGAGGAAGAAGAAGAAGAAGAAGAAAGTAAGAAGCAGGTAGGTGGGGGCTGGCTGGGCACACAGTTGGGGCAGTGCCTCATTTGCCCCACTAGACCAGCCGCCACAACAGGTTCCAGATGTTGTGGCAATTCCCATCTGCCCCAGCCAGCACAGCCAATGGTCAGGAACCACAAGACATTTCCCAGATAGGGATGAGAAGGATGAAAAGCTGGTAGCCTTGCAGAGAATAGAGTTTCCTCTCTGCCACTGGCAGCAAATCAATACACTGGAGCAAATCAAAGGCATGTTGCACACTAATTCAAAAACAGCACGTTCTCCCGTTTCCCAAATGCTGAGCCCAGAAATGACTGCAGCTTTATACTTCAGTAGTCCCAGTCAAATCTGCCCCTTCTTCCCAGTCCACTGTGCTTCTGTAAGGATAGGGGCAATGGCAAGATGCATACCCTTCTCTGACGCAGCAGAAACCTCGTTTCTCTGGGACTTCTTATTGACACACACTGTTTTGTCAGGACTGTGAGGGCCTCTCAGTGGCTTAGTCCCAAGTACATGTGCATAGCTATATTAATCAGTTGCTTCAGCGGATGAAATGGAAGGGGGAATTTTTTAGAGTTTTAGAGGAGAGCTCACAATGAGTGGGGCACAGGAACCAGCTTTGTGCCCAGTCTAGCTTGCTCAGTGCTGCTGTAGGCTCTACATTGACTGGCAATGGGTTTCTCCAAAGTTTCAGACAGGGGGTGTTCCCAGGCTTACCTGGAGATGCCAGGTGTTCTACTGCCACTGTCAGAGGCATCATGCCACTGAATCCCAGTTGCTGGGAATCACAGATGGGCAGAGTGCTCTTGTGCTCAGGTTGCAGGTTCGAGCTCCGTAAGGGACAACTGCATATTCCTGCATTGTATGGGGTTACACTAGATGATCCTCAGGGTCCCTTTCAATTCTATGAGTCTATGATTTAAAGCATATGTTCTGCCTCGGAGTGCTAAACCTTTGTTTATGAAACAATATGCCCTTTCACACTTCTTTCAATAACAGCACAAACTTATGCAAGTCTTCAAAAGCATGAGTACAATGAGAATTACTCCCATGTAAGCGGTTATAGGAGTATAGCCTAAGGATGTTTTCCTGCGGGAATGGGCAAATTTATTTAAATGCAAATTAACGTAGATGGTTAAAAAGGTAAAGGACCCCTGACAGTTAAGTCCAGTTGCAAATGACTCTGGGGTTGTGGTGCTCATCTCGCTTCGCTAGCCAAGGGAGCTGGCGTTTGTTCACAGAAAGTTTTTCCGGGTCATGTGGCCAGCATGACTAAGCTGCTTCTGGTGAAACCAGAGTAGCGCACAGAAACGCCGTTTACCTTCCTGCCGGAGTGGTACCTATTTATCTATTTGCACTTTTACGTGCTTTTGAACTGCTAGGTTGGCAGGAGCTAGGACTGAACAATGGGAACTCACCCCGTTGTGGGGATTCAAACCGCCAACCTTCTGATCGGCAAGCCCAAGGCTCTGTGGTTTAGACCACAGCGCCACCCACGTGCCAGTAATGTAGATGGTTAGTCAGTTATAATTAATCAGCTGTCAGCTCTTAAAAACTATCTGCTTCATTTCAGCAAGAGGGTGAGTAGTCTTCTGAACTTAATAGATATGCCCCCACAACTTAGAAGGTTGGGGGCACATGCACACTCAAACACAGAGACACACGTCAAAATGTGTCATTGGCCCAGCTGATTTGCCCCCTTCTCCTACACATCATTTTTTCATAAAACATATCCAGTTGCTTTTCCTGGAGGAGACTGCGGCCAAGATGGCGGAAGTGGAGCAGAAGAAGAAGCATACTTTCCGGAAGTTCACCTATCGGGGTGTTGACCTGGACCAGCTCCTCGACATGTCCTACGAGAAGCTGATGCAGCTGTACAGCGCCTGCCAGCGCCGGCGGCTCAACCACGGCCTGCGCCTCAAGCAGCACTCCCTCCTCAAGCGGCTGCGCAAGGCCAAGAAAGAGGCCCTGCCCATGGAGAAGCCTGAGGTGGTCAAGACCCACCTGCGAGACATGATTATCCTTCCGGAAATGGTGGGCAGCATGGTTGGCGTGTACAATGGGAAGACCTTCAACCAGGTGGAAATCAAGCCTGAAATGATTGGCCACTCTTTGGGAGAGTTCTCCATCACTTACAAGCCCGTTAAGCACGGCCGACCTGGAATTGGGGCCACCCACTCCTCTCGGTTCATTCCTCTGAAGTAAGGGGATTTGGGAAGAGTTGTGTCTCTTGTGTAAATAAAAGGGTTTCCCAACAAATAAATAAAATAAAAATAAAACATATCCAGTTCTCAGTGAACAACGTATTTATTTCCTTGTTTGTTCCATTAATTAGCTTTTCTTCATTGGCCAGGATTGGAGAATGACATAACACATCTAAAACAACATTTTTTGAGGGGCGGGATCCTGATCCCTATGAATATCTCAGTTAGGCTGCAATCCCATACACAGCTGTGAAAAAGCCCCATCGAATTCAGTGAAGTATTCCTTCTCAGTAGCCACACGTAAGATTCTGCTGTGAATGTCTAATTCAGAAACACCACCAGCTTATATTCTCTTTTATTTTAATAGGACATTTCAATTGTGCCTCATGATCTACAGCAAATCTTCCTATAATACCTTTTCTGTTCGTAGCTAGATATTATCTGTCTTAAACTCCACAGGCCAAAGTTTTCCTGAATGTCTTCAATCCCAAACATTTCCAATTTTGGTAATCCTTAGTTACACTATTCAGGATATTATTCAACACAATGAGAGTCTCACAGGAGTGTCATTCCAGCTATGATTGATAATTACAGATGTAAAATTTTGCAAAACTTGTTTTCAGCTGAATTTGATTTATTTGAATGCAGCTACATACCAGGGAGAGAAAATAAATGTCAAACCTCAAGTTGCTAAGATCTGAGATATGAGGCAGACATCGCATTACATCTGTGTAGCACTGGACTCTGTGAGAAATATATAGCACCAAATCTCTCAGGAGTCAGTTGGACTTTGGATGTTTTCTCTAACAAATGTCACTGGCAAAGGAATGTCCCACTCCACCTGGAATATTAAAATGTGTGGCTAAAGAGAGGAAGGCCTCATTCAAACCAAACACAAAACCATAGTTTAGCATTATGGGAATGAGACTGAATGAGCCTTGGGTTTATGCATGCTCCCTTCCCCTCTCTCCAGCACAGTTGCAGAGGAATCTAGAGGCATTTGCTCCCCAAAACTAACTTGGGACAAACTGTAGATAGTTTTTAAAACTGTGGTCCAATGTCAAACCATGATTTACAGTCCTGGTTTGTTTGGGTAAATTATCATTAAAACAAACTAAGGTCCCTGGGGTGGTATTCAGCTACGTTTTACTCACAACATACCGACTGAAATTAGTCATGTTCATTCATTTCAACGTTTCTACTCTCAATAAAACCTAGTTGGAAATAATTACAAACTGCAGGTAGTTGAAAACAGAAGTAGATGCTTTCAATTTCCTTCTGACAGCTGTGCTGGAAAAAGAGATGGTATGAGGAGCATGCAAGACCAAGGTTCACCCAGGCCTGTTCCCATAGCAGAAATTTTGATTTAATGTTATGGTTAAACTCAGCCTAAATGGCTGGCTTGTGTTTTTGTACAGTATGCACTAGAGAGACAGCTAGCAAAAATCAGTGCTACTCAAAGTGGAGGTCCAAGGACCAAGGTGCTGGTCCACAAGCCATCAGCTGTGAGTCCACAGCAACTCCACCAGGACCAAATATGGTTCTGTTCCCTGGCACATTGGGGAGAGTGAATTGCTGGGCCACCACATCAGATAGTTTGAGAAGCACTGGCATAAATGATAACACTTCTGTACTGGTTCTAATTGTTCAGGGTGTGAGGAGGAAGAATCCTGTAACAACTACATGTTCATCTGGCCTTCCCAGCCCTCAGGTGTGACTCCATACAAGCAGACAAACTGCCAGTCACAGCCATTACCCTCCTCAAAAGAAACCTGGGGGTAAAGCAAGAGAGAGCAACTGCCCACGTAATCCCAACAGGGTGGGATGGCTTTATATAATGAGTTTACCTGCTTATGGCTTAATGACTGTTCCTGCGGCTCTCACTGCTTAGGGGTTTTTGGTAACACAGCTTGTGACAGGAAATCCTGTTTTCCGCATTAGTTGGGATATATATATACAAATAAGACATACATGCACACACTTATATGGTACCAAACACCCCAAGCATTATACACTGGAATTTCCAAGGATATGAATCTTCTGATAGCCACATCCTCTCTGACTGTGTTTCCTGATTGGGGAATCTATGCAACTGGTCCTCTGGGAACAGGGCATTGACCTTCCTTTCTCCCCTCACCCTGGCTTCTCTGTAGACATCCCATGCCCATCACCGTCCAAGGAAGCAATTCACATCGGCATTCTTTGCACATACTTGCCCTAAGCCCCATTTTAAAAAACATAGTTTTAAATCATCGTCACCATCCATATTTACATAATATTTAGAAGGCATATGGAGAGCCCAACTGGATCAGACCAAAGTCCAGATCCATGCTCTTGGGACATGAAGGCAATAGCACTCTCCTATTGTTTCCCTCCCCATGCCCTGCCCCACTGAATAGCTCCAAAACTTACACCTGGGGGGAAACCACCAGAACATAGGGAGCATCTAGCTCAAAAAGAATAATATAATGGTGAATCCGTACACCCCCCAACCTGGGGCAATTTGAGGAAGTGCTTCATATACATTACATTGTTGAAATCCTTAAAACAATTGTGTAAGGTTATAAGTATTAACGTTTTAAGTATTATTGGCTGATGGAGGGAATAGGATGCTGAGATTGAGAGAAAGCAGTTGGCCTACGGTCACCAGGTGAGATCAAAACAGATGCATGCAATATCTCAACTGGGAACCTCCTGATTTATAGCACAATCTCATAGTCACTGAGTTACAACTATGCTTGAAAGACACTCTTGTGCCTAAAAAATGTAACACAGGAAGGATTCGGTGTCAATGAATCAATGAATTTTTAGCTGATCAGCCATCTGCCTTTAAACTGATTAATTCATCCATCAATTAACTTTAATTAAATGTGAATATTACCAAAACTTCAGCATGGGTGACTTTTTGAGATTTTAGAAAAATATAACTTTATCATTTAATAAACAAAATCTACCACTCATTTTTAGGAGGAAAAGTCATTATTATGATTTTAAACTTTACATCCAGGTTTTCTGAACACGCAAGAGCAACATTAGCCTCAAAAATAATCGAGGGGGCCTTTAACATGCATGCTCTCCAATTAAAAATGCCCCCAAGTATTAGGTGACTCATCTATCGATTGAACTGATAAAAGCTTGCAGCCCTGCCTGCCTTGCTTGTAGACAGCCGTCCTTTTAAGCCAACACAGAAAATTGGATGCAGAAAATCAGAACTAGTTCCAAAAACCCAGCCAGGCTTTTCTTGTCTGGCTCCTTTTGTTATGTACTATGGTTATTATTAAAACATATTTTATTTGTAAGCTTTATATAACACCCTTCAGCAAAGCTTCCGGGGCAGCACACCAAAAAGATAAAATGCATAGATGAAATACAATAAATGGCAGCATATTTTTAGAAATAAATTAAAGGATTGGACAATCTGGGAAGGGGAAGGCTGTCAGTGCTTACTAATCCTGATGCCTATGTTCTACTCCACTGTCAAGAGGCAAAATGCCTCTGAGTACCAGTTGCTCGAAATCACCAGGGTTGTGTGTGAGAGAGAATCCTGCTGCTCTCAGGTCCTGCCTGTGGGCTTCCCACAGGCACCTGGTTGGGCAGTGAGAGAACAGGATGCTGGACTAGATGGGCCACTAGCCTGACCCAGCAGGCTTTTCTTACCTACTTATATACCGTATTTTTCCGTGTATAAGACTAGGGCTTTTTCCTTTAAAATTATGTCAAAAATTAGGGGGCGTCTTATACACGGATACATCACTCCCATTTTCTTAAATCGGGGTCCCCAAAAATAGGGGGCGTCTTATACATGGGGACGTCTTATAGACAGGAAAATACGGTAATTTATGTTCAAAGCATCTTTGCTTAGTACTGAAAGGATAGCAATGCTGGTGCCAGGCAGATCTCTCTGGGGACAGAATTCTGCAAATGGGGTACCACTATTGAGAAAACACACTCTCTCACTCTCTCTCTGCTTGCTACTAACCTCAAATGGTGTGGCACTTGAGTACCACTGAGCCCGGTCTTGGCTGGGGAGGGCGGGGTATAAATAAAAATTTATTATTATTATTACCTCAAAGAGGGCAGGTTGGTATGGGAGCTCTCAGGTGGCTTATGGTATAGGGCTTTAAAGCCAAGAACTAGTGCTTTCAATTAGCTTTGGAAACAGACTAGAAGCCAGTGAAATTATTTAAATACCAATGAGATATGTTTTCACCAACTAGTTCCTGTAAGCAAGTCCCGTGGCTGAAGTTTGAACTAACTGCGTTTTCTAAACACTGCTCAGCTATGTACAAAGTGTTAACAATAGTCAGCCCTAAATGTAACCAGAACATAAATAACTGTAATTGCCTTTAGATTCATTTTATTCTGGTTGGAGCACTCCTATGCCTTAAAAGCAAATGGTTTTCAGACAGTCTACCATCAGGGAATTCTCCAAACATCCATAGGTCTGTGGAGGAGCTCCCTCAACCTTGTGGTAGACACATCCAGGAGGGCAGATTCTTAGGCCTCACCATCACCCAGCATTGAAGAAGACGGTACATTTGCCAAACTCTGCTAAATGTACCAAGAGGAACAAGCTGTGCCAATATACTTTTTGAATTCAGGCTTCCAGGCCTCACAAGTCCCCTTTCCTCTCCCCTCCTCCTGCCTTTCTCCCATTTTGATTTACAGCGCAGAAAACTCAGCATTTTCAGACTAGCAAAGTTCGTCCCATTTCCTTTCTTTTGCGGGTTAGGGGGAGGGGGAAGTCATATATCCCCAGATACCCAAGCAGTGTAAGGGGGAGGCCGCTTCTAAAAGCAGGCTCATAAATAAAACAGGATTTCAAATCCAGATCAAATTAGTGAGCTCTGTGCAAACATAAGAGGTAGTGGCTCTGTCAAATCGCTCCTAGTGCATGCAAGCTGTCATTCCCCAGTGCAACAGCCTGCCGGGCCTCTGCACTGCCTCCCTTCCAAGTTTTCATAGGAAGCACTACTCCCACCACAGCGTTTTGTATTTCAG